CCGTCCCCCACTGTCACTGTCCCGTCCTCCGCGTCCCCCGCCCCGGGTCCCCGGCACCATGGGCGACAACACCAGCCCCATCAGCGTGATTCTGGTGAGCTCGGGCAGCAGGGGCAATAAGCTGCTGTTCAGGTACCCCTTCCAGAGAAGCCAGGAGCACCCGGCGTCCCAGACAAGTAAGTGAGCGCCGGGGAGGCCTGCCCGCCCGCGCTCGGACGCACGTCCGTGACTTGCGTGTCCCCGAGGATGGAGGCGCCGCCTGCCGCGTCCCGAGCTGTCAAGCGGTCGGGGAGTACCCGGAGTCAGAGAAAATCCGCTTGGAATTCCGCGGCGCCCCTCCGTCGGCGCCCGCCCTGCCTCCAGCCTCGCAAGAACGCGCTCTGGCCCCGCGTGAACGTACTGGGCTTGAAAGACGGACCCAAGTGCAGGCTCAGGGCAGGTGCTCTTGGAGCCCCTCCCGCCAGGTCTCCTTCACCCCGCGGGGGTGACCGCATGCCCCTCTGGGCCGCGCCGCTCCCGCTCCCGCACAGCCGTGTGTCCCTGCGGTTCCCCCACATCGTGCATCGCCCTGCAGGCGCCCCTTTCCGTGGAGCCTCCTTCCCTGGAGCACCCTCGCTCCTGGAGCGCCCCCAAGAACATACCCTCTCCCTGGGGATGGAAGCTTAGGGTACATACAGTGTTTCACTATCCCGAATGTACTCACGGATACTTTGTTTCAAAAACGCTTTTACATTGGTCAGCATGGTACACGGTCTTAAAGGTGCAAAGGGGTATAGATGACAGGAGTGTCCTTGCCCGCCATGGAACCCCAGCCCCTGGGCTCCCCGTCTGTGGGCAGCTGCTGTTACCATGTCCCTGTGCCGCTTCCCAGAACCTTCCGTGTTAGTACGCCCATGTGCACACCTTTTCTTTCCTTTTTTAAATTACATGGTTTTTAAGATTTTTAAAAAAATTTATTTATTTGACAGACGGATCACAAGTAGGCAGAGAAGCAGGCAGAGAGAGAGGAGGAAGCAGGCTCCCTGCTGAGCAGAAAGCCCAATGTGGGGCTCGATCCCAGGACCCTGGGATCATGACCTGAGCCAAAGGCAGAGGCTTTAACCCACTTAGCCACCCAGGTGCCCCATGTGCTTTTTAAAAGGTTTTATTTTAGTAATTGCTACACCCCATGTGGGGCTTGAACTCAGGACCCTGAGGTCCAGAGTCCCATGCTCTTCTGACTGAGCCAGGTGCACCCAGGTGGTTTCTTTTCTAAGCAGAAGTGAGTGCACTACACACTCGGTTTTGCCCTGTTGTTTCCGTATTCACTTTACATCTTGGGTATAGATTTGGGATCATGATCAGAATCGTGGGATGAACGCGCTGTGATTGATCTGTTTAGTCCTCGGGCATTTCAGTTGCTTCCAAACTTCGGCAATACAGACAGTGTGAGCGTCTTTTCTGTATACAGGATCATTTCTCAGAATGTAGGATCAGCTCCCTGAAGTGGGGAGCTTGGATCTAGGAGGTAATGAACATACTTATTTTTAGTAAGTCAGATTTCTCTATCTTTGTTAATGAGATGGGTGAAAAGTTGTATCTGAAAGTGGTTTGCTGGGTTTTGTGTTTTATTTTTTTATTTTTTTTGAAGATTGTATTTTATTTTATTCATGTGAGACAGAGTGACAGGCAGAGGCAGAGGGAGAAACAGGCTCCCTGCTCCGGGAGTCTGATGTGAGACTCGATCCCAGGACGCTGGAATCATGACTGGAGCCGAAGGCAGACATTTGATGGACAGCCATGCAGGCTCCCCAAGGGTTTTGTGTTTTAGAGAGCATGGGTGAGCGAGTGCGCATGGAGTGGGGGTACGGGGAAGGGGGCAGAGAGAGATAATCCCAGGCAGGCTCCGTGCTCAGCGCAGAGCCCAACGTGGGGCTCGATCTCATGACCCTGAGAGCATGACCCCGGCTAAAATCAAGAGTTGGACGTTTAACGGATTGAGCCCCCCAGGTGTCCCGATAGTGGTTTTGAGACGCGTTTGTCTTATGACTGAGAGTGCACATGTTTTCCTCCTTTCAGAGCCATTTGGGTTTCCTTTTTAGCATACAGCTTACTCTTCACATTTCCCTAATTTCATCTTGGGTTGAGTTTTCCCTATAGATCTGAAAGGGCTCTTCATATATTTAGGGTAAAAATGGGCCTTTGTTACAAAGCCGTATGTTCTTAGTTTGCCTCTGTGTAGTTCTAGCTGCATAGAGTTTTGATTTTATGGAGTCAAGTTTTCATTCTGTCTTTTGTGGTTTCTGAGTTTTGTTCAACATAGAAAGGCCTTTTGCTCTCCAAGATTATTAACAAAAAGAAATGAGACTCCTGAGTTTTCCTTTCTCATATTTATTAGCTTTTATTTTTTTATTTTTTATTTTTTTTCAAATACTTTATTTATTTGACAGAGAGAGGGAGATCACAAGTAGGCAGAGAGAGAGGGGGAAGCAGCCTCCCCTCAATCAGAGAACCTGATGTGGGGCTCTATCCCAGGACCCTGAGATCATGACTTGAGCTGAAGGTAGAGGCTTAACCCACTGAGCCACCCAGGCGCCACCAGCTTTTATTTTTTTTTTAAGTGTTTCTCTTGGTGTAAGTGGAGGCTCCTGGTAGGAGTGGGTGTCTTCTGCACACTTTGCCAAGAGTTTGCCCATGTCCGGGAGCCTAGTAGAGCAGGTGCAGTGATGGTGAGGGCGGACGTGGGACTCTGGGGCGCCACGGCTGCAGACTGGTTGGTTCAGGAGCCGCCATAATTTTCTCTTCCCTCTCTGGTTGGTTCCGCTGCCGTTATCACATAGTAAATTTCATGTTTCTTTGACTTTATTTTATTTTTTTTTAAAGATTTTATTTATTTATTTGACAGAGAGAGATCACAAGTAGACGGAGAGGCAGGCAGAGAGAGAGAGAGAGAGAGGGAAGCAGGCTCCCTGCTGAGCAGAGAGCCCGATGCGGGACTCGATCCCAGGACCCTGAGATCATGACCTGAGCCGAAGGCAGCGGCTTAACCCACTGAGCCACCCAGGCGCCCCATCTTTGACTTTATTTTTGACCTTTCTTATTTCTCCCAGTGAGGTGCGTTCCACATGGATGAACTGTTGTGACTTTACGCTGTTACACTTTCAGATGGGACTAGTCACTTACCACGTCTCTTCTTCAGCGTTATCCAGGCTGTTCGTGCCTCCTGTTCCCTTGGAACGTCACTAGTACTGAATGTATTGGGTCCTACTCCCAAACTGTTGATGGCGTCATGGGGGTCAGGTTAAATGGATGGGTTAGCGGGGAAGAAACGGCGTCTGCGCTGCTACTCAGGGCATGGCACGTCTTCTTTTCGTTTGTATTTCCCTTGCTAGCATCGCTGGTTTCCTCACAAACCTCTTGTCTGGGATGAGCTTCCTACATTGATCCCAAGGTCTTTAAGCTCTATTACTCTGGTAAGGTATGTGAAGGTTATTGGCACATGGACATTTAAAAATTCTTTCTTTTGCCCATGTGTTTTCCGACCCAGCTGTCATCATACACTGAGAGGGTTCGTGTGTGTGCACGCGTGTTATCCTTTTTTATTTTTTAAACTAAATATAGTAGCAAAAACATTTGCTATTATCGTAACTTTTTGGAAAGTACAACTTAAAAAAAATATTTATTTATTTGTTGGGGTGCCTGGGTGGCTCAGTTGGTTAAGCCTTTGCCTTTGGCTTTGGTCATGATCCTGGGGTCCCAGGATCGAGGCCCGTGGCTGTGGTGCTCCCTGCTCAGTGGAGATCCTGCTTCTCCCTCTCCCACTGCCCCTCCCCCTGCTTGTGTGCTTTTTCTCGCTCACGCTCTCTCTCTTTTTTTAAAGATTTTATTTATTTGACAGACAGAGATCACAAGTAGGCAGAGAGGCAGGCAGAGAGAGAGGAAGAGAGGCAGGTGGTGGGGGCAGGAAGCAGGCTCCCTGCTGAGCAGAGAGCCCGATGCGGAGTGCCCCTCGCTCACTCTTTCTCTCAAATAAATAAATAAAGTCTTTAAAAAGATTATTTGGGGGCACCTGGGTGGCTCAGTGGGTTAAGCCTCTGCCTTCAATTCAGGCTCTCTGCTCGGTGGGAAGCCTGCTTCCCCATCTCTCTGCCTACCTGCTTACGTGTGACCTCTCTGTCAAATAAATAAATAAAATCTTAAAAAAAAAAAAAAAAAGATTATTTGAGGAGTCCTGGGTGGCTCAGTGGGTTAAGCCTCTGCCTTTGGCTCGGGTCGTGATTCCAGGATCCTGGGATCGAGCCCCGCATCGGGCTCTCTGCTCAGCGGGGAGCCTGCTTCCTCCTCCCCCTCTGCCTGCCTCTCTGCCTACTTGTGGTCTCTGTCTGTCAAATAAATAAAAAAATCTTAAAAAAAAAAAAAAGATTATTTGACAGAGTATGCGTGGGGGGGGAGGGGCACAGGGAGAGACTCCAAGTGGACTCCCTGCTGGAGCACAGTGTCAAGACGGCGAGATCATGACCTGACCTGGAACCAGGAGTTGTGGTTGCTTCATTGACTGAGCCACCCAGGCACCCTGGAAACCATAACTTTTTTGAAAAAGGATTTGTTACGGAGGGGCGCCTGGGTGGCTCAGTGGGTCAAAGCCTCTGCCTTTGGCTCAGGTTGTGATCTCAGGGTCCTGGGATCGAGCCCCGCATCGGGCTCTCTGCTCAGCGGGGAACCTGTGTCCCCCCACCCCGCCTGCCTCTCTGCCTACTTGTGATCTCTGTGAAGTAAATAAATAAAATCTTTTAAAAAAATTTGTTATGGAGAAAAATATATAACATAAAATTTGCCATTTTAACGTTTACATTTCAGTAACATGAGTTACATTCACCATAATCACTTGGCTGTGTTCTGCAGCTGTGCCCCCTGTGTAGGTCCAGAATTTTCATCACCCCAAACTGAAATCTGTAACCATTCAGCAATCACCCCGTTTCCCCTGTTCTCAGCCTCTGGTAACCTCTAGTCTGCTTTGTGTGTCTGAGCTTGCCCACTGAGGTGTTTCCTGTAAGTGTCGTGTTTGTCCTTTTGTGTCTGGTTTCCTCCACCCAGCACAGTTGTCCCCTGTGTCAGACTCCATTCCTCCTCAGGGCCCCAGTGTGCGTCTGCCGCGCTTTAGAAGCCGTCTCGTCTAACGCACCCCCCATCCTCGGGTCGGTGGTGGGGCCCGTGTGCTCAGCCCTCTCCCCTTTGTGCCCTCGCTCAGATAAGCCTCGCAGCAGATACGCCGTCACCAGCACTGGAGACCATGCGGACGACCAGGATGGGGATTCCAGGTGAGCGCCGGGCGGGCACTCGTGATGGGGCTAGGCCTGCCCCAGGCCTGGGAGGGCCCCACCTCCCGCTGACCCAGTGATTTTCTGCCTCCAGAAGCCTGGTGCCCTTTTTCTTGTTTGGTGGGTGTTTGAGGTTGTGCAGAGCTGGGGATTGTGTTGCCAGGGTCTGACCTGTGGCCCAGCGTGGCCCCGTGTTCCAGCCGGGGATCCGGCTGGTTGGCGAGGCCGGAGAGCACATTCGTCTTCTGTGAGAGGAACAGGGAGAAAAGCACACCTGACTCCTCAGGCGAGTGCCCAGAGGTCACAGGGAGGTGCCCGGGTACCGAAAGCCTGTTCAGTGGGGATGGGGCCGAGAGCCGGGCCTCATGTGACCCTTGCTCTCTTAGGGCACAGGTGAGACGCAGGTCTGGTTCCTTCCTGTGTGTGCTCCCACTGCTTTTTCTGGGATGAGCTGTCAGGGGGGCGGACGTCAGACGTGACTACGTCTACCGTATGTTTGTTTTAAAGCCCAGGGAATGGTAACACGGGCCCAGCTGACGGAGGGAGGATGGTAAACCGGCCCTCCTGGGCGCCTGTAAACGTAGCTGGGACCCGAGTGAGGTGAAGGACTCCGCCTGCACCGTCCCGTGGCAGGAGAGCTGTGGCCCCCGCCGGGCCTCTGCCGTGGGGTGAGCCCGTGTGGTCTCCGAGTCCTCTCGAGCAGGCTCCGTGCCTGCCGTGGCGTCGTGCAGTTCCACAGTGTGCCTTCATCCTTTCTTGTGAGGGTCGTGGGGCCTCGGCCGCGACCAGTGACCGTCTCTGAGGGCAGCAAGCTTTGAAGGAGAGACCAGCGGGGTGCGGAGGGCGTGTGGGGAGCTGTTGGACATGCGTGGCTGGTTCCGCTCGATGGAGAAGCTGTGGTCCCCTTGTCCTCTGAGGTCAGCCACTTGGAACAGGCTCTTAGAAGAGTTTTGCCCCTGCCCACGGGGCGCCTGCACCTTGTCCTCCACCTGGGGCGCAGATGGCTTTAGAGCAGGGCTGTCCACCTGCCCGCGTGCTCTAGCTGCGCAGATGGGAGGCTCAGGCTGCGGAAGGTGCAGAAAGTGCTCTGGGTTTCCGAGGAGGCTGTCAGCACCTGACTCCTGCAGGTGACTCACAGGCTTATCGTGGCAGACTAAGAGGAGGTTTTTAGGGAATTATTTCAGTATTTAGCATAAAGAAGAGGAGGAACCTTGGGAAGGGAGCAAGGCATCCTGGGTCTCTCGGGGTATCACAGGTAATGCTGTTCGCTAAAAGAGCTGGTTCTCTGTACTGTCTCTTTCATTGAATTGAAGAATTCCTTCCTTTGGGAATTGGAGCACAGTATGGCCTCTGCGTATGCCACTCCCACCCACCCCTGTTGTCAAAGATACAGGTTAATACCTCTGAGTGCCCAGCTTTATGTCGTCACGTCGGCCTGCCGAGCCTCCGGTGCGGGGGGCAGCCGTGGGGTGGCTCAGACACCTTCCTGGGGTACTCAGGGTTCTCCTCGATGGTCTTCTCCAAGGTGCTTTTCTTCTGTTCCCACTTGTGTTGCCAGACTGAAGCCACGTTAACAGGCCACTCGTGCGGCTTCTGAGTGTGGCGACGGAGGTGCGCTGCCCGAGAGAAGTGAGGGCGTGGGGCTGTGCTGCCCACTGTTAAGTCACCATTGAAACAGAAATGAAACTGGTGAAATCCGTTCCTCCTTTGCACCAGCCGCATTTCAGGTGCTCGGGGTTGGGGCGCGGGTGACGACTGGCTGCTGTCCCAAGTGGCTCAGATCTGCAGTGTCTCCACCGCTGTAGAAGATCCTGTGTTACAACACGGGCTTGAAATTCAGATGTAAAGTTGTAGCAGTCCTGTTGGATGAGTGCTGGGCACCAGGGGGCTCGTACTCCTTTTTTTCTTTCTTTCTTTTTTAAAGATTTTATTTGTTTCAGAGAGAGTGAGCGGGACACAGAGCATGAGCAGGCGCTGAGGGAGAGGGAGAAGCAGGCTCCCTGCTGAGCCGGGAGCCCCACATGGGGCTCAGTCCCAGGACCCTGGGATCATGACTTATCCCTGACTGAGCCCCCCAGGTGCCCCTGGGAAGGTCATGCTCACGCATCTACCCACTGGCAGGGGCACAGACCGTCAGGAGAGGTCCTGGAGAAGGCCTGGCCTCAGTCAAAAAGGCTGTCGTTGGCGCCATCCCGCCCAGCTTGGAGTGTTCTGGGCACTCTCACAGAGAAGCCGGTAGCTTGAAGAAGAGTCGACTTCATTTCAAAACACTCAGAAATCGTTTTACTTTAGATAGAATCCAGACGACCTCAGAGGTTTTTGTCCACACCTTTAAGTTCTCGGTTAGCATTGTGGGGTGCTGGAATCAGGGGGCCCTACTGCCCTCCTCAGGCCTGACCACCTTTCTGTAAGCCATGGGTCCGGCTTTTGGGCACATTCACCCCCTCAGCTAGCCCAGAACCTTGGGCAGGCGTGCCAGAGTGCAGACAGGCACACAGCTAGTCCTCTCCACCAGGTGCACAGGGCTCCACCAGGCCTCTCTTGACAGCTTTGCTTCTGCTAGTGTGCGTGTGCACGTGTGTTAGAAAGGTAGGCCTTGGGGTGCTTGGAGGTCAGTCGGTGAAGCCTCTGCCTTCGGCTCGGGCCAGGGTCCTGGGATCAAGCTCTACATTGAGCTCCCTGCTCAGTGGGGAGTCTGCTTCTCCCTCTCCCGCTGTCCCTGCTTGTGTCCCTCTCTCTCTGTTAAATAAATAGTCTTGAAAGGACGGAGGTTCCCCTGTTTCCTAGAGCTGAGGTTGATGCAGAGAATGTGGGTAAACAGTGTTGTCCCTGGGCTTGGGGATCCTTGCCCCTTTCCTGGCCCAGCCAGTAAGTCTGCACGGGGGCCTGCCTGCCCGCGGCGTGCTGGGACATGTACAGGCCCGGGTTCCGGCTGGGACTCTCATTTTGAACCTACAGTGTATGGTCTTGGGCATGTTCCTTCTTCCATGAGCCTCTGTTTCGCTGTCTTAAGACACCTGAGGGTGGCAAGGCCCCTCTGCCTCCCCCTCCCAGGTCTGGGCATCATGGGAACACGTGTGTCTTGACGAGAGTGCTTGCTGGCGGCCCTGGCTCCCTTAGAGGGCAGACGCAAGTTCATGAAACATGCCAGGGGCGTTTGACGTGTCCCCACCACAGCCGGGCATGGGAAGGAGCATCGCTGGTTTTTGGAAACCCCACACGCTCTTCCCTTTGGGAAGTGAGGGATTTCTCTGGGACCTGTTTGGTGGTAGAGGACAGAAGTTGTAGGAGCTGCACTAGTGCTCCTCGGGTGCTTCTGGGTGATCTTGGGAAGGTCCACAAAACATCTTATCCCCTTCATACTGTGTGCACGGATGAGCTGATGTTTGGGAGCTGTTGAAGAAGGGGCTCTTGGCTATGTGTGTCTCTCACATGGGTCTGTGGCGCATATTTCTTGGTGAGAGCTGTGCAGAGCCGCAGGCCCGGCGGGGCAGCCCGGTGGGCCTGGTATGGGGTCGTGGTAGGCTCTCATCCCTCCGGGGCTGTCTCCACGCAGGGGCCTGGCCTACTCTCTGTCCCGTGGACACTGGGAAAGCAGCATGTCCTAGAACACAGTCCTCTGCAGAGTGATGTACTCTCTAGAAGACCGAAGTCGGGTGGTGCACAGGTGTCACAGGCCACGTCCAGATTGGCCGCAGCCTCCTCGAGGCCGACGGTCCTGTGCTGAGCAGGGGCTCAGCGAGCGTGGATGGGCAGGCAGCGCCGTGTCGCGGGTTGAGGCTGCCATAGTCAGCGGCATTCACCAGTTCTCACAGGCTTTTCCGTACGGGGATCTCAGGGGGTCCGACTGAGACGGTTTTGTCAGAAAGATTAAAATGCTTGCACCTGGGTGTGCCGCTGACGCGATTGGCGCTGGGCTCTGACCCCGGGCTTCCAGCCTTGCTCTCGCTCCTGAGAACTGGCTCTCCATTGTGCCCAGCTCTGTTTCCGTGTGGGAATCGGAGCTCTTGTGAGACGACGGTGGTAAGTCTTCAACTGGGCGAGTGTCTGTCTTCTTTCTTGTCCGGTAAGTCGCTTAGCCTTGCCCTTGGCAGTTAATGCTGTGGTGGCCCTTCTGCTAGACTTTTAACACTGTTTTAATAAAACAGCCTTGTAACTATTCATGAATTTTAAAATCAGTGTGTTTGTTTGGTCTTGATGGTCCTGTTCCCATTCCAGCGAGCCATGTCCTCCAACCGATGAGCGATTGGTTGCAGGGTAAGACCGACGCTTCTCCACCACCTTTCTGTCTTGATTCCTGCTGCCTTCTCTTCTTGTAATTGTGCTTAAATCCTGATTGCCCTCAGTGTTGAAGAATGACTAACGAGGCACACAGGCTCTGGCTCGGACCTCACTGCCCGGTCCCCACGAGTGCCCAGGCTCCCCGCGGCCCCTGCCCTTTCTCCACCTGGAGTTACTCAGCTATCCCCCACTCCCTGGGAGGCCAAGGCAAGGCGGGCTGCTGCCAGGGAGACTTCTGGGACCAGGCGTGCACGCAGACCTCCCCTCCTACAGGCAGGCACCAGTGGCCTCAGGAAGGTGGTAGGCAGGCAAGAACAGGGCTCCCTGTCTCCCGAGTCAGCGTCCCCCTAGAGAGACCCTTGGTTATTGCCTCTGGCTTGCATTTCTTTTCTTTTCCTTTTTTTTTAAAGATTTTATTTATTTATTTGACAGAGAGAGATCACAAGCAGGCAGAGAGGCAGGCAGAGAGAGAGGAGGAAGCGGGCTCCCTGCTGAGCAGAGAGCCCGATGCGGGGCTCGATCCCAGGACCCTGAGATCACGACCCGAGCCAAAGGCAGAGGCCCAACCCACTGAGCCACCCAGAAATGCAAATGGCTTGCATTTCTCAGCTGAGTTCTAGAACGCCTCTCCCAAGAGCCAGGTGTTAATGTGACGCCCAGACTTGGAGGCTGCTGTGTGGGGCATTCGCCTTTGGAGGCCGAAATGTTCCTGTGGAGCTCGCGTGCCACTTCTCCGGGAGGGCGCGGATTGCGCGGGACCCTCTGTGCCCCTGATGGGGCACCCCCCCCCCCCCGGTGCTGGAGGTGTGTGCAGCATCTGTGAGCCCCTCCCAGAGAAACAGTGGGGGCAGAGTGGAGTTCCCTTCCATTGCTGCCTCTTCCTCCTTTGTTTTCTGGCCAAGCGGTAGGAAAAGCCCGTTCCTGAGTGTCCCAGCAGGAATGGGAGGGCTTGCCTGTTTCCTGCGGGGCTGGTTCGTCTCAAGTGCTTTTATTTCTGTTTTAGATCTTGAAGTTCTTCCAGGGATATTAGTTTTGTAACGGCTGTTTCATTGTATGGCAACACACTTACCAGGGCTTTCATCTTCACAACATGGGAAAAGGATTTTTTGGAAACAAATATTTTCACTTGTTTTGTTTAACTTTGCTGTTCATGTCAGTTACGTCCCCTTCCCCCAAGTCTCATGGTGGGACTCTGTGACGCTGTGCGTTAGGTCAGCAGACACAGTTTGTGAAGTGTAAGCCACTCGGTTGTTTTTTTTTTTTAATCATAAGTGTGTAATATTAGGGACCGTGAGTGGATTTCTGTGTGGGTCAGACTGGCTTATACGGGCAGAGCAGCCACACGCCACCCAGGCCACCCCAGAGAACCACTTAGGGTCTTGTGGCTTTTAACTTCAGCAGCACATGGCTCTCAAGTTGGCCCCCTATGTTGTGTCCTTTCTGGACCCAAAGTGGGGAGTGTTTTTTATTTGGGTCTTGGAAGGGTACCTCTTGGATCTAGATAATTATAAGCATGAACTGGGCCACCTCTGTTTGCCTCTGAATCTCAGGGCACATTTCACAGCCAGACTCAGGTTCCGGGACCGGTGGCTAAAGGCCAGGGCTGGGGCCCCTCTGCAGCTCTCCATGACGGAGCAGAGGTTGTTAGTGGAGATTTTTGGATATCACAAGAAAATGTGAACCTCTGGGATGGTAGGAAGTTGTTTTTCTGTCCGTCATCTCTGTGTCCCTCATATCGCTGGGTGGCAGAGTGCAGGGGCAGTGTTTGTTTAGATAGGGGTGGAATGTTGGCAGAAGTGCTTAGTAGGGCTTTATCAGCGGGAGCCCTCCCTCAGCCTCACAGTGTCCCTCCAGTGGGAGGTGCCGGGCAGGGTGAGCCATTCAGAGTTTTTGAAGAAAGCACATCACGACTCCTAAGACTCTGCAAGCTTCCATCTCTGGCTTACTCACTCCAGAGAATGGTGTTCCTGGGAAGCAGTGACCCACACTGGCAGCCGAGGGTTGCAGCCGTGGGTCCCGAGTTCCTCAGAACGTCTCTGACAACACTGGTCTCGGAAGGTCCAACTGCATTCCTGACTGTGCAGGAGGCAGGGCAGCCCGTTTTGGCCAAAACCCTTGCATCTGGTTTGTTTTGGGGACCACAGAGTGATCAGGGGCTCCCAGAGGACCACGTTGGCCCTGGGGGAAGGCTGGAGGCCAGCATGACCAGCTCCCCTTGGCCATGTGGGGCTCGCCTGCTGCGTAGGGGAGAGGCTTGGAGAGAGCCCATCGCTGCCTGTCTTGCCTTTGTCCGTGTGCTGGTTGACCTCAGCGAGGCTCTCGTTCCAGGCTGGTTCCAAGTTACGTCTCTAGTGAGACACTGAGCCCTGCCGAGGGCGAGGAACCCAGAGCCATGGCCCCTTCTAAACCACGTAATGTCAGGGTCATTTGCTGCCTCAGAGTTGGACGAAGCCGCAGTCTGCAGTAGACCTTCCCTTCGGAGTGGTGGGGGTCCGTTGCCGCCTTCCCTGCAGAGTGAGCTCCTTTAGAAGAGAAGCTCTGGAGGGGCCCCGATTCCCTGCGGCTCCTCCGTGAAGGCCTGGGACGCACCCTGGCTGTCTGTCCCCGTTGGCCTCCTCAGGACTATCGGGGCCTCCTTGCCCAGGGGCAGAGCGTGGCTGTGGAGCCGCCCTTCCCCACACAGTGGGCCCTTCCAGCCCGATGTTAAGATGTGCTTTTCCCAGGTGGAGAAATGAGCACAGGACTCGTCTCCCTTCTGGCTCCTGACCATACACGGGGCCTCGGAGTTTCTAGAGTGGAGGCCCCTGCGGCCTGGGCTCTGAGATGAGGGTCTGCGCTGCACCCCCAGCCTCTCCTCCCTGCAGTGACGCTCGCTTATCTGGGTCCCCCTGGGCAGGAAGAAACAGGGTTGCCCGTGGGGAGACAGGTGTACAGTTGCGTCTCGACAGGGATGAGCTCGACAGTGGTACCGAGGCGGTAGCCAGATGGACTGTCCCACCACAGCCTTCCTCCTTCCCACGGCGCCCAGCCGGTGCGTCCCCACCTTCGTTTCCTGTCACCGGCTCTGCATATCTTGCACTTCTTCAAGGTTTTTCCCCTAGTAAGAGCTGGAAGGTTGAGATGCTCAGTGTAGGGGGACGCCCGGGCAGCCTTGCCGTGAGGAAGGTCAGTGAGTGATGTCCTTTACACACCTGGGGTGGAGGGTTCAGCCCGGCAAACCCGGGCCAGTCAGGCCAGCCGTCCCCACGCGCCTGTGCCCCTCGGCAAGCGGCTCCCTGGGGCAGTGCCAGCTGTAGCTGTTGTCCTCCCTTGAAAAGCAAACTGCAGTGCGTCCTCTCTCCTGAGTTCCGTAGAGCATGCCAAGAAATGACAGCATGTGCCTTCGTTCTATGCTTCTCATGCCTTTTACCTCATAATCCTGGGATTTATGTCCCCGGTCGTGGGGGCTGCTTCCGAAGGGCGACTGACGGCAGCTTCCAGGTCGGCAGTGGCGGTAGAGCGCTGCACGCACGAAGTGGCCGTGTCCCGAGACCCTTCCCCTCGGAGGGCAGGGGGTGCCTGGTACCGTGGCACGTTGTGTCCTGATTTCCACTCTGCCCTTGTGTTATTTTAAGGTTTTCGGATGTCATTCTGGCAACAATTTTGGCAACCAAGTCTGAAATGTGTGGCCAGAAATTTGAACTGAAGATTGATAACGTGCGGTTTGTTGGGCACCCGACACTGCTGCAGCATGCTCTGGGGCAGGTACGGCCCCCCCGGGCAGGTGGGGCTCCCCCCCGGGCAGGTGGGGCCCCCCCGGGCAGGTGGGCCCCCCCGGGCAGGTGGGCCCCCCCCGGGCAGGTGGGGCCCTCCCCGGGCAGGTACGGCCCCCCGGGCAGGTGGGGCTCTCCCCGGGCAGGTGGGACTCTCCCCGGGCAGGTGGGGCTCTCCCCGGGCAGGTGGGGCTCTCCCCGGGCAGGCACGGCCTGTCCTGGCTCTGGGGCCCTCAGGGAGCTGTGGCTCACGCTGGTGAAGGCAGCCATTGCATCATGCCGAGTCCCTGACCCCGTGCGCGTGCGCGCGTGTGTGTGTGTTCAGTGAGCTGCGTATCCCCATAGGCCTGCCATGGTTTTTGCTCTTTGCATCCTGGGTTCTCCTGACTGCCGCCTTCCCCTTTATATCTAGGACGTCCATCTCTGAAGTGGTGCAAGTCTTTTTTCTTATTAGTTAAATGACATCATAGCAAATAGGATGATTAATTCAGTTCTTAGTGTTGCGCTAGACTTCTGGGATGAATGAAATGTTACGGTACTGAGGGGTTTTAACAAGATCGAGGGCACTATTACCCAAGGGAATTTGACACCAGAACCTGCTAGTCAGTCCTTTGCACACAGAATCAGGGCTTTGATAAGCTGGGGTAAGATTCAGCTCTATTTATAGGATCCAGAAGCTGCAGTCCTCAAGTCTTTTCCATGAGTTTGCCTGTGGAAGGAGCTTCTGAAGGGGTTGGATGTTCCAGGACGGCAGTCCATGGCTGGGTGCACCGGGTCCCACTGGTGACACCTTCCTCTTTACCAGGCCCCTGTAGACAGGCCTCAGTCCCCACTGCTGACCTGTGGGTGGCAGGGGGAGATGGGACATCCTCCCAGGAGTCACAGCCTACCAAACCAGGGATGGTGACGGTCCTGGTTAGTTGGCCCAGGGAGATGTGGCCACCACCCCTGACCCCCCACCCCTGGACACACTCCTGTGCCCTCTGCTGGCAGCGTGTGTGACCGACCGTGGCTGGATGCCAGGTAGCTTGGTCCCGGCTGGCTCTGAGCGTTACCCTGTCTCTCCATCGTCTCTCCATCGTCCCGAGTGGTTGCCCAGCCTGGCGGAGACAGGACAGTGGAGACAGCAGTGGGGGAGGGAGGGTCTGGGCAGAGAGTATCCCGTGTGCTCGAGCCTCTCCCCATCAAGCTCCCTTCCGTTGCCTGCAGTCATCTTGTCCCTTGGGGCCGTGGCATCGACCCTCCCGCTGTTGTCTCAGCCGCGTTTCCATCGGTCTGTGCTGCCCGTGCTTGCCCATGCGGAGGCGGTGGCCATGTCTCAGAGACCCTAGGGCTGTTTTTTTCTGGGTGGGCTACCCTCTGGAGCCTTTTCCTGTGCCTACACAGGGTTTCTTGGGACGTGGTGGCCCTCACTCATTAGATTGTATTTCTTTTCCAGGTTTCAAAAACAGACCCATCTCCGAAGAGGGAAGCCCCCACGATGATTCTCTTTAATGTGGTGTTTGCGCTGAGGGTGAGTAGCACACGGACGGCTGGAGAGCACTGGCAGCTCGAGGGCGGCGAGCAGGGCCCCGGGGCGGGGGAGCAGGGCCCGGGGACGGGCGCAGCCGTTCATCTCCGGTGACGGCGTCACTGGCTCAGAGCTCAGGCCGCGGGGCCGGCCTAGCAGCTGCCAGGCCCCTCCTGGGGTCCTGCGGCAGTTTACCCTTCCTGTGTTTTCTCAGTAAAACGCACATAATGTTTACTGTCTTAACCATTTTACAGCATACGGTTTGGTGGTATCCGGGAGCAACATTGTGTAACTGTCGCCGCTGTCAGTTCCAGGACCCCAAGAGGAGACCACGTACTCCTTATTTTCCCTCCTCTCCCGGCCCCTGGAAACCACCGGTGTGCCTTCTGTCTGTGCGCTTACCCGTTCTGCATTTGCGTAGAGACTGGATCCTACACTGTGTGGCCTTCGGCGTGTGTCTGCCTCCACGTGGCTCACGCACGTGGTAACGTGCCTGCCCCTCTCGTGGCGGCAGCGTGTTCCATGTGGGTGGAGCTCAGCGGGCGCGTCTGTCTGTAGATGCGGTCGCAGATGCGCTGTCTCTGCGCGCCGGCCGTTGGGAACGACGTGTGTGTGTCACTGCACTAGGGCCCGTGCTGTGACGGACATTTCTGTCCAGGTGTTTGCGTGGACACCCGGTTTTCTTTCCCTTGGGCACACACACCCCGGAGTGACATTGCCGTGCTGTGTTGGGGACGGGCGGGACGCCTGCCCACGGTGGCCCACCGTCTGCCTCCTCCGCACGGGCACTTGTGGTTCTCCGTGTCGTGTTTAATCCGTACACCTCGGAGTTTCTCGGGGAAGTTCCCAGACTGCCTGAAGTCGGGTTAGAGGAAGTTTCTCTTCAGAGAAGCTGTCGGGATCTGAGGGACCCACAGGAACATGAAAAGCGTCCTCGGGAAAGCCTCACTGTGTTCCGAAAGGACTGGGAGTTGCCCAGGAAGTCTGTCTGGTGGCTGTTCTGTGACGGGACCCCTCTGAGCTGCCCCACTGCCGGTTCGTACGACAGCAGTCCGTGTTCTTTCTGGCGGGCACGTGTGGCCCGTGCGCTGGCTTCACAGAAGCGTCCCAGACCAGGTGACTGGGTCTCGGTGACACGGAGCAGCGTGCGCTCTGCCGCCCCTCAGAGTGGCCGAAATGACAGCAGCGCAGGGGATACCTGTAAAATGGGGAATCGTTCCACGTCCCAAGGTGCTTTTCTCTGGAGAGAAAACCACATTCACTGTGAGTGGCTCGAAACCACAGTGACACCAGGGCAGAGCCCCTTGGAGTGGGGCTCAGTCTTTAAAACTGGCCCGCACTGCTGCGTTGAGACAGAGTGGTGGGTTAGCAGGGGCTGTCCCGGGCTTGCCGTTCCACGTGGAGACCTTTACTTTGTCATTTTGGCCTTTGCACAGTGTAAATAAAGTCAGGTATGACTGACAAAATTACTTACTGCACACGTCCACCAAGAGAACTCCAGTAAGTAAGAAACAAAAGCCCCAAATCATGATGAATGCTGTCGGCCTGTGAGCCCCGACAGTCCCTGTGGGGTGGGCAGTGAGAAGCAGCCACGGGTCCGCCCTGCAGGCAGGCCCCGGTCTCAGCGGGACAGTGTGGGGGAGCAGACCGGGTGCCACCCCGGACACTGCAGTCCGGAAAAGAAGCGGATTCTGGAGCTGCGAGCAGACTTACAATAACGGCGAGGCCGGAAGCCTCGGGCATCCAGTAGTGGGGGCTGATGAGACGAGGGGTAGTCATCACACTGGTGCAGCCTGTGGCTGGCAGGGGTGAGGCGTGGGGCCCGGCCCGAGCCTGGAGGAGGATGGGTGGATCGCTGCGCTGGGAAGCAACGCAGTACAGGACCTCACACAGCAGAGGCCGTGACGTTGAAGAGCGGGAGGAATTTTAAATGGTGTAAAGCATTGGTATTTTTAAGGTAGTTATTTTCTCCTTTTTAATAGTCATGAAAACATATATATATACTTTTCTACTTTGAAGAGTTTGTGTTTTTTTTTTTTAAGATTTTTATTTATTTATTTATTTGACAGATCACAAGTAGACAGAGAGGCAGGCAGAGAGAGAGGAGGAAGCAGGCTCCCCGCTGAGCAGAGAGCACGAAGCAGGGCTCGATCCCAGGACCCTGAGATCATGACCTGAGCCGAAGGCAGCGGCGTTAACCCACTGAGCCACCCGGGCGCCCTACTTTGAAGAGTTTTAAACAAACCGCCCACTAGTGACAGTAATAGGCTGACAAGCCTCGTACACCCGTCTCTGAGGCCCCCTGGCCGTCACTGGCCCACCCTGGCTTCTCCCCTGCCCTGTTGCTCAGGTGTTTTGGGCAAGCCCCGAAGCTCATGTCTGTTCAGTTCTCCGTACTGTGGGTGGCTTCTCTCAACTGTGAATGTTGGTGTTATACCGTGGTACCTTTTCACCCCTGATAAAGTTCGCCGTATCAGCTAGTGCCTGGTGGCCATAGTTTTGGCTGCTGGTGTGTCTGGATGGACAGGCCAGGATGAAAACCTCGCCCTCATGAGTGTGTGGGCTGTGTCTGTGGGTCTCTGCCGGTCTAGGACCCTCCTCCCCCTCTGGCCCGTTGGTGGTCCATGTTGGGGTCCGTCTCATCGTGCTTGCTCTGTGTGTGTGTGTTGCCTGCAAATCTGAAGGCCTTGTCCTGTTTCGGTGCACTTTTTGGGAGCGAGAAAGTCTCACAGGCGATACCCTAAATTTCCTGCTGTTTCACATCACCTGTGGGGCAAATGCGGCGTTTCTGAGTTTCCCCTCAGGGCCGGCATGTCCTCGGTGGTCCCCCGTCCCTGTGGCCATAGCGAGCCTTGGGCTCTGCAGGCACCTGTGTCTGTGGTGTCTGGCCTGTGAAGCCAGGCAGGACACCCCAGGGCACCCCATGAAGGCGGGTGCCCAGTGCCTGGGTGCGCACCCCGCTGCATGCCTGGGAATGTGGACATCGTGGGCTCGGGCGTCTGACTTAAAACGCTGTGGTGGCCCGCCGGTGGGACCTGGAGCTTAGGGTCAGGCTCTCCCGTGTGACTTGGTGGCTCAGGAGGGGGATAGCCAGGTGCATGGGAGCTTCCTCCCCTGTTTGCTGCCGGGCCGGGACCGTCTGTGCAGACTCCTCTGCAAGTGTTTTGTCGGAAAGCTGCGGCACGTGCTTCTGACCGAGGCCCTGTGGTTCCAGCGCCTCCTGGGGGCGTTGCTGGGGGCCATGCTGGAGGAGCAGGACTGCTGCTGGGTGCTGGGCATGGCGTGAGGGCAGTGTTTAGTCCTGTCCCGTGCACGGGTGCAGATTCTGTCTGTGAGCGAGACATCTGCTGGGAGCTCAGAAAATCTCTCCAAGTCCGGGTGATGAAGGTGTTTACCCTGTTTGGTGCAGGGTTTGGTCCAAAAGGCTGGCTGTGGACACCTCGCTGGGGGGGCCCTGCCTGCCAGATAAACAGGAGGGGAGGCACCCCAGGGTTTAATCAGCGGTACCAGCGTCCCTCTCCCTTCTCCCACCTCCGCCCCTGGGATGACTCAGCAGCCCTCGCGGCGTCCTGAACCACTGAGTCACGGCTCGCTGGCTATCTGCTCCGAGTGCGTCTTCAGACACCGTCCAGCCACCTGCCCCACCCTGGCCCGGGCGGGTGTGGCTGCCTGGCCTCGCTGCCCGTCTGATAGGTTCTGGAGCTGGCGCAGGGGTGCCAAGGGAGCCTGCTGGCTTCGGTTAGCCATGTTTCTGCTGGGAAGAGCCTCTTCCCCTGAGGACAGTGTGTCCAGCAGATGGGGGGCCTGGAGCTTCTGTGTCCCGAGCTCCGTGTCCCTGTTGTAGTGGGTCTGTGTGGTTGAGTTCTCAGGAGGCCTCGTCCTGCCCACCAGCGGTGGCTGCACATGAGTGACCCCAAGCACTCTAGGGTTTGTGCCCTGCAGGGGCTCTGTCGGGCTAACTGCTGTGGGAGGTGCCACTGTGGAGATCTCGTCGGGAGCCTGGGGTCCCACGGCGGGCGGGTGGTGGGATCTGTGCCTTCCGCTGCCCCGGCCCCCGGCAGGCTGCCCTGGGCCCGCCTGCATGGCCCTGCTGTGGTGCCCTGCTGTGCCTCTGCTGGTGGCAAATGCTGGGGGCCCCATGGAGCTGTCTCCGTGTTGCCTCCCGGGCAGCCGTTCCCCAGCCAGGATGCCGCTCACAGCGGTGTTGCTGTGACGGACCCCAGAGGGGACACAGGCCCGGGGACAGCAGTGGCCCCTGGAGAGGACCGTGTGGACAAGGAGTCGAGCGGGTTCCTTCACGCCCTGTGGCTGGTGCGCCCGGTGTGCCCCTGAGTGCACGTGCTGCCTCCGAGCCCCCGCCCTCCCCCGCAGGCCAACGCGGACCCGTCGGTCATCAGCTGTCTGCACACGCTGTCCCGGCGCATCGCCACCGTGCTGCAGCATGAGGAACGCCGCTGCCAGTACCTCACGCGGGAGGCCAAGCTGATCCTGGCGCTGCAGGACGAGGTGTCCGCCGTGGCCGACGGTGAGTGCCACGGCGTGTTGGCGTGCGCGGGCCCACACGCAGGCATCGGGGGCTCCTGTGATGTCTGCAGGTCGTCCCCGGGCGATCGGGAGGGTGCCCCACGGGACATGGCTGCATAGCAGCCCTGAACTGACCCTGGAAGTGGATTTCCCGGCCTGATCCGCACCCCCCAGCGCCTGGCGGCCGGTGCACACACCGGGGACTTGCCCAGGGGCCAGTGGGAACGCGGGGCTGGCGAAGTGGGCGCTTTCCAGTTCTCGGCTTCCTGCGAGCTGAGGGAGGACCTGGCGGAGTCGCCAGCTGACCAGTTACTGGCTGCTGCGTGGACTTGGGCATCCCCAAACCACCTGTAAGCACGGGAACACCGCCTGCCGCCCCCACACCCCCAACTCAGCTCGGGGCTCTGCAGCCGAAGGAGGCCGGACGTGGGTCTGAGGGCGAGCCCAGTCTGGCCACGGCCGGACGTCAGAGTAGCGGTCGGCGGATGTGAGCTGGCCCGCTCGAGTGCGTTGTCAGTGAGAACTTGCTTTTTCCCTTGACAGCTGTCAGAATGTGTAAGTATGTTTTGGCCAGTTGTGTATTGATTAATAACAATCCACAAGTTTTGTTTAAAAAAATTCTCTTTAGGGACGCCTGGGTGGCTCAGTTGGTTAAGCAGCTGCCTTCGGCTCAGGTCATGATCCTAGCGTCCTGGGATCGAGTCCCACATCGGGCTCCTTGCTCGGCGGGGAGCCTGCTTCTCCCTCTGCCTCTGCCTGCCTTTCTGTCTGCCTGTGCTCGCTTTCTCTCCCTCTCTCTCTGACAAATAAAAAAAAAAAAAAAAAAAAATCTTAAAAAAAAAAAATTCTCTTTAGAATCTGTGACTTTATCACGGAAGAAATTTTTTTAAGATTTCATTTATTTGAGAGAGAGAGAGCAAAAGCAGGGGGAGCAGCAGAGGCAGAGGGAGAGGCAGGCTCCCCACTGAGCGGGGAGCCCAATGTGGGACTCCATCCCAGGACCTGGGATCTGACCCAAGCAGAAGGCAGACGCCCAACGACCGAGCCCCCAGGAGCCCCTACCACAAGAAATGTTTAAAAATTCAATTAACTAAATATTTTAAGGTATTAATGATAAAGGACTAAGGAAAGACTTTTTTTTTTAAGGTTTTATTTATTTGGCAGAGAGAGACTGCGAGAGAGGGAACACAAGCAGGGGGAGTGGGAGGGGAGAAGCAGGCTTCCCACTGGGCGGGGAGCCCGATGCGGGGCTTGATGCCAGGACCCCGGGATCATGACCTGACCCGAAGGCAGATGCTTAATGACTGAGCTCCCCGGGTGCCCCTAATGAAAGACTTTGGATCCTAAAAATAAATGGCCCTGGTGTGAGCGAGTGGGATGAGGCCTGGAAGCAACGGCTCCGCAGGTGGAGGGTGTCTCTGGGGTCTGTGCTCTGGGGCCACCAGTGAACTCGCTGTGGGGCCAGGGGCCCCAGTGCCGAAATCTAACACATGACCCATCTAAAGGCCGTTGAACTAATCAGCCAAAGTCTCGTCTTCATTCAAATGGGTGCACAGATTTTATAAAATACAGTGCGGGTTCCCTGATGTTTGGTTCAAAATGACTTGAAATTGGGGCGCCTGGGTGACTCAGTCAGTTAGCATCTGCCTTCGGCTCAGGGCATGGTCTCAGGGTCCTGGGATCGAGCCCCACATCGGGCCCCCTGCTCAGCGGGGACGCCTGCTTCCCCTCTCGCTCAGCTTGTGTTCTGTCTCTCACTCGCTCTGTCAAATAAGTACATAAAACTGTACAAAAATAAATTAAAAAAGAAAACCGAGTTCAAATTTATTTTCAGTTAAACTTTAAGATTTATTTATTTGAGAGAGAGCACGTGAGTGTGGGGGGTGAGGGGCAGAGGGAGAGCGAGAATCTTGAGCAGACGCCCGGCGCAGTGTGGGGCTCGATCTCACGACCCCCAGATCATGATCTGAGCCAAAACCAAGAGTCAGATTTTGGACCCGCTGAGCCACCCAGGCGCCCAGTTAACCTTGTCCTTAGGGTATTTTCCGCCCTAGCCTCATGTGTTTCCCGGCCTCGGAGGCTCTCAACTCTCTGTGTTCTGATCGTTGCAGCGCGTGACGGTCCTCAGTCCCCGTTTCATCATATCCTGCCCAAGTGCAAGCTTGCCAGGGACCTCAAGGAGGCTTACGACAGGTGAGGCGGGCGGGCGTGCCGGCACCTGCCGTGGGCCCTGCTGTTGTGCCCCTGTGGTGGGGGCAGGTGCGGACTGGGAGTGCCGGCCCCAGCCCCCAGACTGAACCTGAAGTCACCGTGTCACGGTGCCAGGTTCGGGGTCTGCCTCCTGAGGTGGGTGTCACGTCATCACTTGCTGAGGAGGAGGCTGAGGCTCCGAGGGCACCCCGGACGCCCCCGTGGGACTTGTGGGCTGCGTGCAGGAAGGCGCAGGTGTTGCAGACATAGCAGAGCCTCACGGTCCTGCCCGTAGTGTTGGTGTCCACAGCCAAGAACTTCTTTTCACAGCGTGTCCACTGGTCCCCGACCCTGGGTCTGCAGTGCGGCTGGGAGGTGGGGGGCGGGGGCGGGGGCGCGGGCGCGGGGGATGGGCCCCTGCACGCTGTGCCTGCCGCCCTGCCCCAGGACTGTTGGTTCCCGAGGAGTCGTTGCCCGGACAGCGGTGCAGGCCGCTCTGGGCCTCGTCCTTGCACACCGCCCTGTGCCCGCCCCTGGCCTTCTCGGGCCTTCATCCCATGGGTGGGCCCCATGCTCCCCACTGGAGGTGGGCTGGGCCTAAGAGCTGTGGCTGCCTATAGGACAAGTCGTCCAAGCCCAGAAAGAGTGGCTTCTCGACCCTTTTTTGCGTTAGTCGTTTTCCTGATCTCATCAACCGTACACGCACGTTATCAATATTTAGGAAATCTGGAAAAGTGTCGAGAAAACAAAGCCCATCTCTAGTCCCATACCGGGGATTATTGTTAGGAGCATTTGGGAAATTTCCATTCTTTTTGCTGTTTTAACGGAAGCTTTTGAAAAGGTTACGCATCCCTCAGACCTGGAAATCAGAGTGTTGCGTTTGCTCCCCGCTGTCCCTGCACCAGGCTCTGTCTGGCCCCGGTGGCAGGTGCGTCTCAGCCCCAGGCCACATGCCGGCCGCCCAGGAGGGCTTGAGGCCACGCAGGCGAGCATTGGCCACCTCTGCTCCTTCACGCTGTGCGCGCACGCCGTCCCTGCCCTCTCCGCTCAGCGGTGTGGCCTCGACCCTGCTGTACTGGTACATAAGGACTTCTCTGTTGCTGCCGCCTGGTTAGCCAGCCCTCTCCTGGGCCCTCAGTTGCTGCAGCCTCCGAGCCTCTGGGGCCCTAAGACCTGCACCCGCTGCGCACGTGAGGTTGTGCGTGTGCTCCTGACAGCGTGCCCTATGACGCGGTGCACGTGCCTGGGGGGCTTGCGCCACGGGCCACACCCCGCTGGTAGCACAGGAGACACCCTTTCCTCTGGCTGTGCCGGTCCAGGGTCTCAGTGAGCGTGTGTGTCCACAGCCGTGTCCAGCCACCACCCTGTGCGTCCCCCTCTCCTGTCCAGGGCCTCCTCAGACCCCATCCGCCGCTCTGTAGGAGGAAAGGTGCCTTTGCCCCGGACGCAGAGCTGTCCTCTGCGACGGAAGCTGCGGCCCATGTTCCCTCGTCCTGACCTTGGTGACGGCGGGGGGTCGGCACGGGCGCTCCCATCCCATGGTCCCCCCCCTGTTTCTCCCACGGCGTCACTCATGACCACGTTGAAGTTTGCTGCCCTCCGGTCTTGGGCTGGCTGGTGCTGGCAGTCGCTTCCTGGGCGCCGTCCGGTGCCCGGCCTCCCTCCGCGAGGGTGGGACGAGAAGCGGCGCTCAGCCTGCCCTGGAGATAAATGCCAGACCGGAGCCAGGCTTGCCACGTCGAAGGAAGGAGTGGAGCGCGACACCTTGGGTTTGAGCTGCGGGTTGGAGGCCGTGAGGTCTGGGGTGCTTGGCCCACCTGCAGCTGGACTCGAGGCAGCCCGGCGCCCCCAGTGGGCACTGGATTGAGGGAGGCCAGGGAGCTGCGTTTCGGGGAAGAAACGGTGCCCGGGGTTCACTGTTGCCCCCCGGCTGCTTCCTCCAGCCCAGGCGTCCTGGTGTGAGCGTTCAGGGCCCTGTTTCCTCCGGGTGAAGGCCCCGCCCGCCCTTTCCTGTTCGCAGACCCCACCCTGCCCCCTCGTGGGTCCCGGGCCCACCTCCGTGAGCCAGCAGCAGCGCCCCTCTGGTGGGACGCCCGGGGACAGCGGGGTCCTCCCCCGTACCCTGTCCCAGCCTGCCAGTGGCTCTGTGACGGCCCAGGGGCAGCCCTGGCCTGGGGCCTTCCCTGTGCCTTGAGGTCTGGCCTGGCCCGCTGCTGCAGGGGCTTAGCTTGGAGCTGAGAGAGGACGCTGTGCGTTTACGGAGTGACCCAGCGGCACAGAGCCGCTTCTCCCCGGGGCAGCGTGGCAGCGGGGCTGCGAGGGTTTTGTCCGAGCAGAGGTGAGACCCGGAGCTGCGAGGTGTGGGGGTGGAGATCCGGGTGAGACATCAAAGGAGCTGTTCTGGACCGGCTTCTTTTTTTTAATTTCATTTGTTAATTTGTCAGAGAGAGAGCACAAGCAGGGGGAGCTGCAGAGGCAGAGGGAGACGCAGGGAGCCTGACCCAGGACTCGACCCCAGCAGACACTTAGGCACCTGAGCCCGCCCAGCCTCCCGGGATGTGCTGCTTCACGTAACGCCCACGGCCATGGCATGGCCGATTGGCCTGGTGGCCTCGCGGCCCAGGACCCGAGTGTCTGTGAGGAGGGGCTGGCAGCATGAGTCCCTTGGGAGCCTGCCCTGGCTGTTGTGGCACCTCAGTGACTGCCCCACGTGTCTGTGTGACCGTCAGGTTGTGTCTCCCGTGGAGTCAGGGGATGTCCCTGCACTTGCTGGAACAGACCTTGAGGCTGGCCTGTGGGGAAGCGCGGCTGGTGGCCCACCGGTGGTCGAGGGAATGAGCGCAGCAGTCACAGTATTGTGGGCCGCGGGCTTGACGGTGTGGGCGGACTGGTTTTCAGAGGTAGCGGGGCCTGTGGTGGGGCCGGGAGGCTCGGAGCTCGGGGGACAGCCCAGGGCCAGTCTGGGCAGGTGGCCTTGGGAACTCTGTGCTGGTTCATTGCTGCCTCCCACTGCCGCCTGCTCAGAGCCGAGGTGCACCAGAGACACCTCCGCCAGCGTCCTGGGAAGGTTAGTCTCTTCTTCCACAAATTGCACTTCTGTAAACCCCTGAGCCCACTTGGACCTCTTGAATGTGTACGTGTCCCCCCTGCGTTAGCAGGAAGGCTGGCTGTGTGTGGGACCAGAGTGTCGGTGGGCACTGGGTGGCAGGAGAAGGGTGACCGGGAGACCAGAGAAGGAGGTCTCAGCTCTCAGCTTAAGGGTTAGGAGCTGAAGTTGTTTCTGCGAGGGTGGGAGGAGAGGGTAATGGGGTAAGGGCCACACGCCACCTTCCGTCTGGGGCATGAGAGATAAGGGCGTGCCTTCAAGGCCAGGTGTCGCCTCCTGCGCAGTCATCGCCTTGAGACCCGAGCGTTATCTCCTGTGGCAGACGGGGCTGGGCAACCCTGTGTGGCCCAGAGCCGCGTGGCAGGTGGGATAAGCTTCACGGGGGGGGGGGGCAACGCTCTTCGTACAGTGTTTCCAGACCAAACATGACTGCCGGGCAGGCAGAAGTACAGAGCAGGAGCCGTGCAGGCGCCAGACCCCTGCTCCCCACCTGCTACGGCATAGGAACTGCCCTGTGATGCCGCAGGGACGTTGTTTGGTGACAGGCGGCGACAGCACACACGGGGCTGGGCGCGAGTAACGTGGGCAGCGGACAGCAGCTGTGTGTCAACTGCTGTGCGGTACCGACAGATACACGAGACGTAGCCTCCCAGGTTTTCGGAGGGGGCGCCCTCCATCCTGCAGGGTCAGAGAAACGGGCCGCACTTCTGAAACAGAGACGCATCCGTTTCCCCTCCTCTTGGCTCGCCTCTAGGGGCAGGGGCACTCTGGGGCTTCCCCTTCCCCGGGAGCTCGTGTGGGCGGGCGTATTCTGCCGGGTCTGCTCGCGGCATCTCGGTGCACAGTGCTCCGTGGGTGCACGTGGCCAGGGGGGGCGAGCAGTGCCTGGGGGCGTGGAGCAAACTGCACGTGAGACCCAGGGAGCGCCGTGCGCGCGTCCCCCCTGCTCCGGGGCGAGGACCCCGTGCCTGTGCGTGCAGTGGCGTCGCCCAGCTCCTGGGGCAGCAGAGCAGCTGCGAGGGAAACAGCAGGAGCGTCAGGGCTGACTCCGGTTCCCGGGTGTGGCCGCCGCGCCTTTGAGCCACATCCTAAGGACAGCCGCTTGGAAGCAGGCCTTTCTTTTCAGTCCGCCGGCCTTTCTGTCCAGGTGCCCGGTGGAACAGAGGAGCCTGCCCATGTTAGCTTTCAGGCTCGCTCTCCCTGTGGCCCCGCTTTCCTCTCTCTTCTCTCTTCATTCTGTCCGTGGGTGCTGAGAACCTCATCCACCGGGCGGTTCTCTGGTGCTGTGACCTCCCACTTCGGAGCCGCCGTTTCTCAGGTTTGGCGGCAGCCGTCCTCCTGCAGGCGCCCTTGCCCGGAGCTTGCTGGGGCTCTGGGGACCGCCATCTCCTACAGACTCCTGAGCTCTCTGCTCTTCTGGGCCTTGGTGAAGGATCCCAGGTCTCTTCCGAGAGCGTGACGCTCATCAGACCCACTCGTAGCTATCACCCTGAGGGACTGTGGCATCCATGGTGACCAAAGCTTTGCCTTCTGGCCTCAGCCCCACCTGAGGCCCCCACCCTCGCAGCCGTGGGTGCTCTGACCCTCCCTCCGGGGACAGCTCGTGGTGCAGACGTCCAGGGAGTGTGGCGTGGGTTCCCTGCTGACTCCGGGCAGGGCCGGTGGAGGGTGTCTGGGAGTCGTGGGGCAGCGGGCAGATAGATTGTGGTGTTGGCAGGAATTCTGGGGGTCGTCGAAGTCACAGATGTGCGTTTTGTTCCCCCACGGTTTGTTCTCACGAGAAAACGGCTGACACATATTTGCCGGCTCTTTGGGTGGACCCTGGAGAAGCCTGTGGTAGTTGTTCTGCTGTTTGAGACTTCAGGGACACGATGGTAGGAACAGCCCGGGTGTGTGGGCGGTGAGGGCCACAGGGCCGTCTGCCAGCACTGTGCATTTGTGTGCCCCGAGGGAGGGCTGAGACGGGGCCTCTCTGAGCCCCGGCCCGCCGCACACTTGGCCGGATGTGGGCGTCTTGGCCTCTCCGGCTGCTTGGGAATTGCAGAGTGGGGTTGGAATGTGAGGGGAAGAAGTGGGCTGGGCCAGGCCAGACCTTGACAGGGGCACCCGTCCCCATCTTGTCCACCTGCTGGGGGTTTGGTGAGGACCAGTCATGAGCACTTTGCCCAAGTAGCCTCTTCTACTCCGTGTCAGATCCCAAGTGCTGTTGGCACTTGGCTCAGGAGCCGTGCACCGGGCTTGGAGTGCGGTCAGGCCGGCTTCTCACCCGAGGGTTTTAGAAGCACCTGCTGGAGACGACTCCTATGTGTGTGGTTCTTGGGGGCAGGGCATATGGGGCCACATGCCCCCTGGGGGGCTGCCAGGAGCCTGTTCCCTGCGCGGGGGCTTCCCGAGGGAGTGTCCCTCCAGAGTCAGAGCGTGTGCCTTCCTCTGTCCCCGAAATGGCCCTCAGTGCCCCCAGGTACCCAACACTCGACCGGCTGTGTTGGGGGGAGTTAGCACTAAGACCAGAGCTGGTGACCGGGTTCTGGCCAGGGAAACGGCACCCTCTAGCAGATACGTAGGTGCCTCCAGACACGCGGGACCACACGGCAGTCGGATTGCCTGTGGGGCTGGGGCCGGGTCAGGGCCCACCCCACCGAGCAGGTGGTGCTTGGAGTGAGACCTGAAATGGAAAAGGAGCCCAGGGCGCCCAGAGGAAGCCCCAGAGGCCGAGAACAGCAGAGTGGCTAGTTCAGGTGCATCCAGACGGCCTGGGGTGGGAGACAAGGTCGGGGGAAGAGTGGGCAGGTCATGTGAGTCTCCCGGCATTTGGGGGCCTTGGCTGGGACTGCTGAGGTCGGATCTTTGAGGGTCTGAGTAGGGAGGGTGGACCGGGGGGGGCTGGTGCTGAGAAGGTCTGGACCTTGTACCTCCCTGTAGGTAGAGCAGACAGGATTTGCAGGTGGTCAGGGTGGGATGTGGGAGAAACAAGGCTTCAGGGGCAGGGGGCTTTACGGGACCTGAGTCGTGTTTGGCCCTGAAAGAACGAGGCTGCCCTCAGCAGGGAGTGGGGGAGCGAGAGGTTTGCAGCTGAGGCTGGTTTGCTATGGGATAGCTGGCGTGCTGCTGGCTTCTGTAGGGAGCCGGGTGCCCTGTGCTCCTCCCTGACAGGACTCTGGGGGCTTGGCACCCCCCCCACCTTTCCCCTGCTGCCCACCTGTCCTTTCCGGAGATTGGCCCTGCCCTCCTGGCCGCCCAGCTGCGACGGGGCATTCCTGGGCTGTGCAAGGGCCTTTGCCGTGGTGGCCCCTGAGCCTCGGACTGACGAAGAAGAGGCTTTCCTGAGCCCTGGTGCTCCGGTCGGATTGCAGATTCCCGGGCTCCCCAGAGACATCTGTGTATGTGTGTGTGTGTGTTTTCTTCTTGTGAACACCCTGCCGGCTGGGAGGTGCTCTCTGGCCCGGGGCTTCACGTGCGGTTTGCTCGGGCTGCAGAGCTGGGGGCCGGGAAGCAGCCCCCTCCGGCGGGGCTGGTGGGCTTGCAGTGAGCGTGTGGATTCGCGGGGGCACTGGTGGTAACGGGCCCGCTCTCTGCAGCCTGTGTACGTCCGGCGTGGTGCGGCTGCATGTCAACAGCTGGCTGGAGGTGAGCTTCTGCCTGCCCCACAAGATCCACTATGCGGCCTCCAGCCTCATCCCCCCCGAGGCCATCGAACGGAGCCTCAAGGCCATCCGGTGAGTGCCAGCCCTGCCCTCTGCCTGCGGGCCCTTCCCCGGAGCTGCGGCCTCAGGCTCCCCCGTGGCTGCCTTCGGGAGTCCTTTCTTCCTGCCACAGCCTGTGGCAGGTAAGGCCCTCTGCGGAGAGAAGGGACGGTGCCTATTTCGGGGTCTGCTTTTTGTCCAGACGGGACCAGCCACAGGTGTCCTCTGGGCCCTCTCAGCACTGCCGGGGCGACGAGGCTCTGTGCTCCCGGGTCTTCAGTCCGGGCCTGGGACGTGCTGGAGGGGCCCAGCATCCTGGCGAGAAGCCAGACTGGGGGAGGAGTGCGCCCTCCCGGTGTTGCTCACCGGAGCACCGCATCCGAATCAGAACTCGGGGAGCTCAGTGTCTTAGTTTAACTGGTTTCCTGCAAGGAAAGAGCTGAGCCGTTTTTGCAACCCCCCTGCTCAAAGTCTCTTGTTTTCTGAGATATTTTTGTGACTAAAAAAGGAAATCTGGGCACATTACAGAAGATTTGGAGATGAGAGGAAGCAGGGCACTACCTCGCCCTCTCTCCCTTGCCCAGTCTGTGCTCTAAGTGTGTGTCCTTCCTCCTGGACTTATTTGCTGAGTATATTTTTATGTAGTTCTATTCATAGCTGCTGTGGGGATTTTGCTTTTCCATATTTGGGACTCTTTGCTTGGAAAAGATTCATGTATTTTTTTCAGTGAACAAATGTTTGCTGGGCAATCCCAGGGAGGGGAGATGGAGTTGGGTCGTCGAGCCTTCCTCCGCTCTGTTCCCGTTGTTTTTTCTGAGGGTCGTAGTAATCCCTGTGGGTTTTTAAAGGCCCCTGGACACAGCACTGCCCTTCTGTCTAACTGTTCCGGTGGCCTCTTCTCTCGGGTCCAGTGTCTGTGGGGCCCGGGTACGTGCCTGGTCAGTTGACCTCGGACTCTGCTCTGCAGCCCGTACCACGCTCTGCTGCTGCTCAGTGACGAGAAGTCCCTGCTGGGCGAGCTCCCCCTCGACTGCTCCCCCGCCCTGGTGCGCGTGATCAAGACCACGTCTGCCGTGAAGAACCTGCAGCAGCTGGCCCAGGACGCAGACCTGGCCTTGCTGCAGGTAACGCCCTGTGGGCCCGGGGACACGCCCTCCATGGGGAGAATGGCGGGGGAGGGGCGCATCTCAGAGCAGGTGGTCCTCGGGTGGAGGTGGGAGGTCAGGGCGTCAGGAAAGCAGACTGCCTATGTGCCGTGTCCCCAGGACCTCTGTCTGGTGAGGGGCCCCGCGTGGCCTGCTGTGGGGGAATGGGTCATTCCAAGCTCTGGAATCTGAGGTCTGGCTTCAGGGCTGGCTTTCTGAAGTGGCTGTGGGGCTGACGTCGTCTTCTGTGCCAGCAGTCAGGAGGCATGTGGCCCTCCAGGTGCTGGGGGCTTGCCGGACGTCACTGTGTGACAAACCGGGGGCACGGTGTACTTTGTGGGTGTGGGAGGTGAGGGCCCACCTGTGTGCAGAAGCGGGACCTGACCTGGGGGCCCTGACCAGTCCCCTTGTGCGCGGTGAGGCCTGTGTTCTGTGTGGGGTCCTCCTTTTGCTGAGCCGGGCGCCTGTGCCTGTGGTTTCTCTTTTCGTGGTTCTGAGACTTGTTTGTTTTCGCGAGAGAGTGCACAGGAGCGCGCGTGAGCTGGGGAGACGCGGGCAGGGAGTCCCGGCCAGAGTCCATCTCACATGGCTGAGATGCTGGCCTGAGCTGAGAACGCGCGGAAGGCCCAACCGACGGAGCCGTCCAGGCGCCCCCACAGTTTCTGATGGGATGCAGGGCCCCTCGGTCCCTGCTGTGGCCTGGCTGGAGCCTGGGTGGGGGTCAGGGAGTGCGGAGAAGCCCAGGAGGAAGCTGAAGGTCCCAGGGCAGTTGTGCCTTCCGGACTGCTGAGGGCAGGACCGGGGTCTGGGTCCGTGGGCACCATGTGGCCACCAGGGGGCAGCAGGACCTGGCCCGGGAGCGCGGCTCTCTGAGGCCGTCTAAGGAAGAGGAGCCCAGGGGTGAGACCGGCCTGCCTGGGTGCCCCCTGTCACCCCCAGGATGTAGGCCTTTGGCCTTTGGTCATTAGCGCAGTGAGGGGGCCTGAACTCCCGGGCCTGTGTCTCCCAAAGCAGCATTTTCTGGTTCTGCCGTCCAGGGCGAGTCCTTCCCTGTGGGTTCCCCGTGCGCTTTGTCCATCCCCTGTGAGGGGGATGGCTACGTACGGGTTCTGCACTCGTGCACCGTCACCGGACTCCTGGACTGGGGCCCCCGCTGTCCTTCGCAGCATCCACGGAACGGGCCTGATGTGTGGGCGGCTCCGTCCACCCTGCAGAGCTCGTGCTCTGACCCGTCCGGGCTGCGCTTTCGGAGCTTTCCGGCTTCTCGGTGTCTTCGGACACAGACTAAGCTTGGTGACACCCCCTTCACGTCCCTGCCCAGCCTTGCTATGGGGAGACCCTTTCCCCTGCCATCACTCTGCACTGAACACTGTGAGAAACAGGCCTTCCTGCTGGCCGCCGGTCGGCCTTGCCGGCCTCTGCAGTCACCCCCTGGGGCCTGAGGTCGGCAGAGCTGCCCGAGGCCCGTTGGAGTCCCAGGCACGACGGCCCCACGAGGGAGAAAGTGTCAGCTTCAGCGTGCATGTCCTCAGGTGACTTACCGTGACTTGAGCTCTCGGGGTGCCTGGCCGGCTGGGTCGATGGAGCACGTGACCTGATCTTGGGGTCATGAGTTTGAGCTCTGCAGTAGGTGTACGGATTACCTAAGAAAAAATAAAGTCTTAAGTAATTCATGTTCCATCATCGGCAAAGTCAATATTTTGGGCTTTTCTTGTTTCATTTTTTTTGTTTAACTGTAATTAACATACAGTGTTGTCTTAGTTTCAGGGGTCCAGTGTGGTGAGTCTGTGCTCCCCAAGATAGGGACACTGTTGCGTCCTTCACCTGTCTCCACATCCTCCCACCCTCCTGCCCTGTTTTGGGGTTTCTTGTGATAAGCTTAATACGTTCTTAGAAAGATTCAAACATCAGGGGTGCCTGGGTGGCTCAGTGGGTTGAGCCTCTGCCTTCGGCTCAGGTCATGATCTCAGGGTCCTGGGATCGAGCCCCGCATTGGGCTCTGTGCTCTGCGGGGAGCCTGCATTCCCCTCTCTCTGCCTGCTGCTCTGCCTTCTTGTAATCTGTCTGTCAAATAAATAAATAAAATCTTAAAAAAAAAAAAGATTCAAACATCGCGCAGATTAGAGGCACGGAGAGTTCTGCAGTCCTGTGTCACAGAGGTCACTGCTGGAGAGTCCTCCGGACCTTCTGCATGTGTCCCTTCTTCACATATTATCTCTGGATCACAGAACTGGGATCGCACTGTCCATCCCTTGTGATTGGCTCCCCACAGACCTTCACATCCTACTCCTATGTCCTGCCACTGCATCTGCACAGGGGACTTTGTAGATGGTGAAGGGCTTTGAGGTGGACCGTGACCCTGGGTTGTCCCTGCCGGGCCCTTGTGAGACATGGCCAGGGGATATGACCACGGAGGCAGGGAGTAGAGGGAGGTGGTCACGTGCCGAGGAAGGCTGCCGCGAGAGGGGGTAGGGCAGCTTCTCCCCCAGAGTCTTCGGGGAGCGTGTCCCTGCTGAGAGCTGGACTCCGGCCTGTGGCACGAGTTCAGACCTCTGGTCTCCGGAACGGCGCTCTGGCTGTGGGGAGTGGTGGGAGGCAGACACTACAGGGGAGGGCGGGGGCAGATGGAGGAAAGTGGCGTATCCTCGCTTTGGAGCTGGTGTCAGTGGGACTTGGGGTGAGAGAGAAGACCAACAGTGACAGCTATGGTTCCGGCTGTGTGGGCTCTGGTGTCCTGTTTGCTGAGGTGAGGTACTGGTGCACAGAGCAGTGTCCCAGCCTCAGTGCCGGCCTGGGGAGGATCATATGGGACAGGGTCCATGGGAAGTGAGCGTCCCGGACCACACCAGGGACCAGTGATAACGAGGGTGGTTGTGTGTGCTGTGCCAGACGCCCAGGTGGGGGTCGGAGAGTTGGGCACTGTCCTCCCAGCTCCCACTGTTGGCAGGTTTTCCAGCTCGCCGCCCACCTGGTGTACTGGGGCAAGGCCATCATCATCTACCCGCTGTGTGAGAACAACGTCTACATGCTTTCTCCCAACGCCAGCGTGTGTCTGTGAGTATCTCCGGCTGCCAGAGCCCAGGATGGTGCTCCCGGCTCAGCCGGGCCCTCACTTGGGTGTGCTTGCTGGCCTCTGCTGTGTCCGTGTTCTGATTGTGGCCTGCCCCGGGCCTGTGCTCTTCCGGTATTCAAAGCCCCCATGCAGGTTCTGTGCTCCCTCACACCTGCTGGCCGGTGGGCGGTGGATGGGATGCCTGGTGGGGGTTGGGAGCCTTGATCTTGACTCGGGGGCTTGGAGGGGCTTTGGCCTCTGCCCATGGCTCTTGCTGCCCCTCGAGGGAAAGCACCTGGGTTTGTCCTTATGACTCCCACCCTGGGCACCTGCTATGCTGTGCCTCCCTGCTATCCACCCTGGGCTCACGGCGAGGGCACGGCTGTCCAGAAGCGATGGAGAGGCCTGCTGAGATCATGGGCACGTTGCCTCACCTCTCCCCAGGTACTCCCCACTGGCTGAACAGTTCTCCCGTCAGTTTCCAGCTCATGACCTGCCCTCTGTCCTTGCTAAGTTCTCCTTGCCCGTCTCCTTGTCAGAATTCAGGAACCCCCTCGCCCCCCCTGTGCAGGAGGTAAGTTGCAGGAGTCCGGGGGTCTGGGAGCCACCAGCCCAGTATCAGCTCCTCATCCCAGGGCCCTCAGTGCTGCTGCACTCCTAGCCTGGGTTTTGGGGAGGAAGGGACTTGGCTGTGTCGGTGGTACCCGTCATGCCAGGGTGACCAGGAGCTGGCTCCCCAGCCAGGCCAGCTGCAGACCGTGGGGCAGTCCCAAGTCCCACCCCCACCCCCGGTGGAGGCCGCCCTGACTGCCTAGAGCCAAGTGATTAGAGCCGTTAAGAGACCCAGGTGACAGGAGAGTGGTGACCTCTCCTGAGGGGATGCCAAGTCAGCTTTGTTTTCACTGAGCTTGGGCCCTGCTTCCTGCTCTCTCCCACTCCATGGTCCAGAACTCACCACAGGGTATGTACGTCTAAGTTCTGAGCTCTCTGATCCCCAGAATCTCCTCATCCAGGAAGATCTGGAGAGGACAGGCCTGGGACAGGCCCCAGTGGGACCACTGGGGTTGCTGGGGGTGGCAAGGGCTCATCTAGGAAGGTACGAAGTGTATGGGATGGACGGGTGAGTTCTGGGTCAGGTGCAGGCTGGGTCCACAAATGAGCCTCTGCCCTCCTCCCCCGTGCGGAAGGCCTGGGGCTCTGCGGCTGGGGGCAGGGGCGGCGCAGAGCCAGAGCCAGGATGGGGCGGGTGTTGGGAGACGGGGCTGGATGCTGTCAAGGCTTTGTTTTCAAGAGGAAAGTATCGTTTTAAATAAGTGTGAGATCTGTGAGGCAAAACCAGTCCTTCAAAGGAAACCCTTTTCCTTCTTAAGTTGTGAATGAGGAGGAGATCCTGGTTCTTGAGTTCATTCAGATGCTGAGCTGAGGGAGTTCTGACGGCCTCTTTCATGGGGCCTTCGGTTTCCAGGAACCGTGCCAGGCTGTACCAGCTGGATAAAAGCCGCACTCTGCATCTGTGCCCCACGTCCCCCAGCAGAGCCGTCCTCACGGGCCGGACGGCAGGTGGATTTCCCAGGCCAAGCCTGGGGGGCCGCCGTGTGCTTGGTCAGGGGCTCGGACGGAGCTGGGTTTGGTTCCGCGCCGTCCCCAGGAGAGGCGTCTGCTTGTCAGGCCTCCTGCTTCGGGGCCTGGAGTGCGCTCGTTAGTACTCACGAAGCCTCTTTGTTTTATTTTTTAATTGTAACTCTTTTGCATCCTTTTCCATTTTACTTGGTTTGACCAGGTCATAACGTGCCCGTGGTACCTGGTGCCTCCCCGTTCCGTGCCTGGTCAGTCGTCCCTTCCCAGGAGGGACTCCCAAAGCCGAGCCGGCAGATGTGCGACCTTCCTGCTCGCCCGTGCTCACGCTGGGCCTGCACAGGGTTCCTCACTGGCCGCGGTCAGGGGCCGGCCCCCGGCGGGAGGGGCGGCCTCCATGTGCCGGGACCACACGGCTCATCGGGGCTCTGTGTCCGCGGGCAGGCTTCCAGGCCGAGCCAGGGAGAGGCCTCGGTGCTGTCAGAGCAGCTGCCTGCGGCGTCTTCCTGGGCAGCGTCCAGGCCGCAGCCGGCAGGTCCCCACGGGCCCCGCTCCGTGTGGTGGGGGGTCTGAGTGACGGGGCCCTGTAGTCGGCCCGGCTGCTCAGCTCTGGGCGTCGAGAGGCCCGATGCTGGCGCCGCCCAAGTGCGCGGTGGGAGCAAGTGCAGGTGCGGCCCTGGGGCTCCTCTGGCCTTGCGCGGAGCAAGGAGCTGGTCTCCACTGGCCGCTGACAGGTCCTTTCCTGAGGCGGGGGTTGGGCCTCTCGAGCTCAGGAACCCCTCACCTCTGGCATGACTGGTGGGAACCCTGGTTTCAGTCATGGCCCTGGGTGCTGCCCACGGGGGACAGGGCCGTGGTGGGGAGCAGCCCCCTCCCCCGCCCTGGGCCACCTGCGGCTTCCTCTGCAGACCCAGCTCATTCAGATGGTGGTGTGGATGCTGCAGCACCGGCTGCTGGTGCAGCTGCACACCTACGTGCGCCTCATGGCCTCGCCTGGCGAGGAGGAGCCCAACGCCCGGGAGGACGAGGTCCCCTTCACTGCCAGGGTCGGCGGCCGCAGCCTCAGCACGCCCAGTGCTCTCAGCTTCGGCTCCCCAAGTAGGAGCCCCCTGCCCCGGGCATCTGTGTGGTGGATGGGGTGGTCGGGAGGGCACCTGGGCGTGGCGGCGGGATCCCGACGTGGGCACTGCTAGGTGTGAGCGAGGCACCTTCCCACGGCCGCACGTGTGCACACACACCCGCCCTTTATGTGGGCCGCTGGGGCCTCGCACAGGCAGTCGCTGTCCCCCGCTGAGCTGCTGTCCTTCGAAGGAGGCAGGAGACCCCGCTCCCTCGCCTCCCTGCTGCTCTGTGCCTCTGGGCTCCGGAGCAGGGCCTCGTTCAAGTCAGGAGCAGCCTGGGATCTGAGTCCCTGGGAGGGCGGTTGGGCTCGCTGGGCCGGGGCCTGTGAGGGGACACGGACTCTCACAGTCACTTGTTGGCAGAGCCGTTTTGGCCGCCGCATGTGCCCAAAGTGGGCGGTCCATCGCCAAGCCCCAGGTGCCCCGGGCTCCCCCAGGCTCGGGGGACACGAAGGACTGGAACTCGACTGAGGCCTGACCTTACCTTCAGGTTCAGTGCGAGGACCAGCCTTGCCCGGGGCCCACCCTTGTCCCTCTTGGGTGGGAGGGGTGGGATGAACAGGCCTGCCTCGGGGTGTGGCAGCAGATTCCCGGTGGACACGGGCACAGCGGGTGCACCAGGGCGTGTGTGGGGGCACTGGCTGCCCCCTGACCCGTGCCCACCACAGCCAGCAGTGACGACATGACGCTCACCAGCCCCAGCATGGATAACTCCAGTGCGGAGCTCCTGCCCGGCGGGGACTCTCCCCTCAACAAGAGGATGACAGAGAACCTGCTGGCCAGCCTGTCTGAGCACGAGCGGGCGGCCATCCTCAGCGTGCCTGCAGCCCAGAACCCCGAGGACCTCCGCATGTTTGCCAGGTGGGGGCAGGGTGACCCCGGGGCTGGGCCAGTTCTGGCGTCAGAACAGAAGGCAGGTGGGGGCTTGGCCGGCACGACGCGACTTCCACCCCGTGATGACCACCGGCCGTTGCCGGTGGCGGTGGTATCTTGGGCATGAGGTGTCCCCAGCTGGTGCCTGTGACGCCAGGCCTGGGGCCTCTGCCTGTGGGGTCTCTCCGGGACTTACTGGTGCTTCCCGTTACTTCTTCGGAAGCTGCAGCAGGTTCCTACCCTCTTGAGGCCTGTGGGGACCTTCCGCACCGGGAAGGCTCTTCGCCCGGGCTAGGGTTGGTGGTGTCCAGGACCCCACATCATGGGTGACAGTCAAACCTGGCTTTGACTTGGGGGGCTCTGCGGGTGTCGGGTTTTCGGGGGGGGAGGCTGCCTGGGGAAGCCCCCAGTCAGGAACCGCATGCCAGGCAGCTGGGCCCAGGCCTCTGCGCCGGCCCCAGCCACACACAGCCCTAGAGCAGTGACCCCGTCTGGGCCCGTAGCCACACGGGAGCCGCTGCCACAGCAGCATGACAAGAAGCCCCTGGCAGGCCTGTCTCCTGCACTTTCCCCTGTCAGGGTGCCGAGGGCGGACGTGGCCTTCAGGCTCGGGTGGCTCCAGGGTGTGAACAGGGCCCGCGAGGGCAGCAGGCCTGGAGCCCTCACCCACCCCGTCATCCCTGCCGGGTCTGCGCAGGTCTGTGGGGCGCTCAGTGCGGAGCCCTCCCCTGGCTGCCTGGCCTCACACTGCCCGCCCCTCGCCCCAGGCTCCTGCACTACTTCCGCGGCCGCCACCACCTGGAGGAGATCATGTACAACGAGAACACACGGCGCTCCCAGCTGCTCATGCTGTTTGACAAGTTCCGCAGCGTGCTAGTCGTGACCACCCACGAGGACCCAGTCATCGCCGTCTTCCAGGCGCTGCTTCCGTGAGGCTGGGCCCAGGACGATCGCGAGGAGGCAGGCTGCTACCATGGGTGCTGGGCTGTCCCCCCGCCCCAGGGCCCCCCACGCCCCCTGCCAGGCTGAGCCCTCTGAGGCCTGAGTGGACTCCAGCAGCAGCCTTGGGGCCACTGCCCTCCCTGTTCTCATCCTCACCTGGTCCTTAAACAGCCTCAGTGTCTAAGCTGAGGAGACGAGGCTCCCAGCTGGAGGGAGTGTCCAGGACTCAGGCCTGCCGGCTTCCCACGCAGTCAGACCGCGTGCTTCTCTCAGACCCTCCTCCTGACCTTGCCCTCGTTCCCCGGTCCCCTCTGCTGCTGCCTTCCCCACGGTCACCCTGGGACTTACAGAGAACCGTGTCTGACACGAGAGCGGAGGAGAGCCTGGCCGTGCTGTGTGCCCTCTGCTGCTCCAGGGAGCCCTGGGCCTTTCCCAGCCTGGCCCCCTGCAACGGCTCTTGTGTTCACCAGGAGCCTCGTGACCAAGCTGTCGCCACCACCCCCCCCCCCCCCCCCCCGGGACTCCTGCTGCACAAGGGCCTGGGCCGATGCCTGTCTTTGGGGTGAGTCTGCCCTGGTTCCCTCCGGCCTCCCTCACACAGGCCTGAGGGACAGTGTGCACAGCCTGCACTCCGGAGTCCGGTCCTGGAGGGGGAACCGACCACAAGCACATGTTGACCCCTGAAGGGGCTCTGGCCGAGACACAGGCAATAATGTTTTCTAGACATAAAGTGTTTATTGGGTTTTTACAGAATTAAAAAGCCTCATGGGAGCAGACGCTCGCCAAGGGCCCGCTCTGTGTGCTCTGCTCAGCCGCTCTGTCCACCACGCTGACCCAGGGGCTGCCCCGGACATAGAAGCGCAGGGGCTTCTGGGCCCACTCTCCTGCCTGGCCGATGCCCACGCGGGCAGCCGCCACCACGGCAGGCTCACTGGCCCCCAGGGCGCTGCGCTCCATCCACACAGCCGTGTCGGCGGCCAGGTCCCGCTGGTCGAAGCTCTTGTCGATGGCCAGGGCCTGGCACAGCTTGGAGGGGCCACTGCACAGCTCACGGTCCTTGAGGGCTCGGCCCGCGGTGCCCTTGCGGAGGGCGCTTCGAAGCTGCCGCATGGTCTCCAGGCCCCCCAGGGGCTCCAGTGCTCGCAGCAGGACACACGCCCCGTCCCCTGGGGGACAGACAGACAGCCTAGAAAGCCAAGCCTCCCCGGGCTGTTGCGCTCCCTACACCGGGGTGCACACGGTGCTACGGACGTGAGGCGGCTGCCTTCCTGAGCTCCGGACACCTGCTGCCTCCACCCCCACAGACCGGGACCTGCAGGTGCCTGGGCCACTAGGTGGGGTGCGCCCGGGAAGCCCGAATGCCGGACCCCCAGCTAGGAACAGCCCGGTGGCTGCGGGTGGCCGGCCTCCTCCTGGCTTGGTCTGGTTTGGAGACTGGCAGCACCTGTGCGGCTGCAGAGGAAAGCCCAGAGAGCCGGTCGTCTGTGGGCGCGGCCAGCCCCCCGGAGGCAGCAGGCCCAGAGCAGCCACCCGTGTGCTCGTGGTACTGAGCGAGCCCTGCCCGGGGACCCGTGCAGGAGACGCCAGCACACAGCCCCTCTCCTCCCCTGGGGCCCCTCTGCGTGTCAGTCCACCGACCCCTGACATCAAGAGTCACACGCTCCCCTGACTGAGGCGCCCCAGTCCGAGCTACTTTTAGGGACCAGCAGATGGTCACCCTGGGCTTAGGGGCTCACTCGAGAGTGCGCGTCTGCCCTAATCCCCTGCATGGCTGGGAACGGTATGACTGGACCCTGGCCAGAAGAACCGGGATCGTCCAGCAACGCTGCTCGGACTGGGCCAACCCCCGCCACCAGGGGTCGGAGAGGCTCAGGTGGCCAGCTGGTTTCCACTCTTGGACCTTGGCCACACGGGCCTCCCCACTGGCATCTGGGAGCCCCGAGTGGACGCAGCAGCCCTCTCAAGTAGCCGGCAGCTGGCAAGTGTGGGGCTTCGGGACCAGATGCCCCTTAGACAGCCAGTCCTCAAAGGACCTCAGGAAATACTTGGGTCACGCAAAACCTCGACGTTCCTGTGCCTCTGGCTCCTGGGCTCGTCCCAGCCCACCAGCGTCAGGGCTCCCTGTGGGTGCCACACGGTGCCTCACTGCACATGGGGTGAAGGGGCAGCCTCTCCCAACATCCCCACATCCCAATCCCGGAGTGCATCCGAGTCCCTCATCCTGACGAAAACATGACACCCTAATCTCTTCCTCCCAGGTCTCCCCGTCCTCACCTGCTAGTCCTGTCTACACGGCCTGCCCTCCTGGTGTCTGTGCCGCCTCCACCCTGCGGGCAGGCAGACGACGACCATGTCCTCAGCCTCCCTTCTCCCTCCCTCTGCCTCCCAACCCTTGGCCTTGACCGTCTTTACCCACGTGGTTTCCTGCTCCCGCCCCACCTGGATGGTCACATGTCCACAAAGTGACGTGCCACCTCCAATGTATGCCCTGTCCACTGTACCTCCCCCAACCCCAAAATCCTGGCCTCTTCCCCTTCCTTGTTGACCATGGCCCTGGGCATCGCTAGACCCAGTGAGTCCCCTTGTCTGAATTGAGGCCCGCTACACAAGAGCGGGTTGGTTCTAGTAATAAGGAAAAGCCAGACAGCCAAGGTAAGTGCTAAAGAATGACAAGAGGAACACCTCTGGGATGGCCCCTATCACCCTCTCAACACCCGCTTTGTGCTGGGCACAGGACCCATCCTTCAGCCCCTGTGGCTCTGACACGGGATGTGTCCAGCTGTCTGCTTAGCGCCATCACAACTCCCAGGTCACTGGAATCATTCAGCAAATGTGTGTGACACACAGCATGCCAGAGCCCAAGCTTCTTACTGGTCTCAAGCATTTGCTCTTCTTGGGATGGGCCCTGGCGAGATTCGACAGATACGGAGAGGCTGGGACCGGCCAGGCGGAGTGGGCTGGGCAGACCCTGCTCCTGGTCAGCAGTGCCTCTGGCAGGATCATGCTGGGGGCTCTCCCTTCTGAGCAAAGGCCTTCGGCTCGCAGTGGGACACAGGCCGTTCCACAGCAGGTGTCGCGGGTGGAGCGGGCTCTCCCGGGGCTCCAGACTAGCATCCCTCCAGTCGGCACTACTGACATCGGGGGCCGGATGATTCTGTGTCTGTGTGGTGGGGCCGTTCTGTGCCTCGTGAGCCCTTGGGCAGCACGCCTGGTCTCCACCTGCCAGACACCGGTGGCACGCGCCCAGCCGGGATGACCACACCTCTTTGGACGTTGCCTCACGGCGGCTTCCCAGGTGGCAAAACCATCCCCAGTTGAGGACGACCGGTTCAGACCCCACAACCGACCACCTGATGAGGCTCTGGCTTGAGCTCAAGTCAACTCGGGCTGACCACACCCTTGTGTTCCCACAGCTCGCCCTCCCAGGTCGGCCCTGGTCACAGGAGATCTCAGCTTTGAGGTCTGTGACCGTCGGTGTCCTTGTGGAGCCTGTCAGCTCTGTGTTCAGGTCAGCCCATGACCTCTGTCCATGGGGGGCCCCAGGCACCTACCACCACCCAGACGGTGTAGCCAGAGTTCCTAAAGCCCTGGCCTAGCTTAGCAGGGACACCTGTTCCTGCCTGTCCTCCCGGATCTCCCAGCTGCCAGTTCAGGGGGCAGTGCCCGAGGCCTCCTGCTGCCCCAAGCCCCGTCACCCCGGCACTGCTCACCTCGGCTGGAGACGTTCATGCAGAAGTACATGCCGTAGATGACGTACACGTACAGAGTGCCCGGCTTCATGAACATGCCACGGTTGCGCGGGGTCTGCCGGCCGCCCCTAGAGTGCGCGGCTTCGTCCTCTGGCCCCACGTATGCCTCCGTCTCCACGATGCGCCCTCGGAGCTCTGTGCCGTCGTCAAGTCGTCGAACCAGCACCTGTGGGCAGTGTGTCTGCTCAGAGCCCGGAGGGGCAGGGGGCACCCTCAACTGTGACAGCCCGCAGCCTGGGCCTCACCTCCCCAGTTCAAGGTGCACCGGGGCACCCAGGCCCAGCCAGGCCCCCCACTGTCCCCCTCACCCATCCTGGCAACACAGGCCCTGCTACGTAGCCTGTCCCCAGGGGACAGCTGTCTCAGGCTCCGGCCAGGGCCAGGCTGGGGAAAACCAGCACTAGTGAGTCCGCACACTTCAAGTCTTCTTGGTGGGGCCCTCCATCTCCCTGCCTCCTCCTCCCCCTGCCCCCTTGGACTTAAGTGCTTAGCCTGGGGTAAGGCAGCATGGAGGGCACAGGGCCCCAGTGTTGTCCTCACACAGGTGCCCAGGACGCCTAGAGCCTGTGCGGCCCCTTCCACCTGGACTGACCACAAAGGACCACCCTACTTGGCTCCCACCCCCTGGCTCTCAAAGGCCCTTCTGAGCAGTGGGAGCAGCTGCCTGCAGGGGACCCGGCCTGGACCACAGGCCTGGGTGTAGCCAGCTCCACAAGGAGTGGGTCAGAGCAGGCCGTCTGCCAGGGAGATGAGCTGGCTGCAGCTGGCTCAGGCGGCACCCTGGGGCAGGGGTGAGGCCCGGAGCGGCCCTAAGGGCCAGCTGAGGACGGGGCAGGGGCGGGTGCTCTCGGGTAAGCCAAGCACCGAGGAGAGCAGCGCAGGCCACAGGGGAGCCAGGGAGGACCCGTGGAGTGCTGAGTGTGCCCGAGAACGGAGTCTTCCCCCGCCTGATCCCGGGCCACAGGACAATACCTGTCCCAGAAATGCCTGTGCCAGGGCGACAGCGGGTTGGTCGAAAAACTCCGATCCCAGCCGTGCAGAGCAGCTTTTTGAGCTTGAGAAGTAGAGGCTGCGCTGGGGGCCCAGGGAGGCAGGCCGCCCCAAGCGGGGCTCTGTAGGGGAGGGCGTCGGGGCTCCGTGCAGGTCACTCCCGGGCTCTTCTGCCTCCAGCAGTCGCTTTTTCTGCCCGAGTCTGCGGGAGAGCTGTAACGGGAGTGGACCGATCTCCTGAATAGGTTTGGTGGTGACGTCGGACTCAGGGAGGCGAAGGACTGTATTCGACGGCCCGCCTCCTCGAACAGCAGAGACCACCCCCTCGTGCGTTGTTCCAGGTGCAAAGGGGTGCTGTACCTGGCATGTGCAGCCCCACGCTGGGCCCCGGGAGGCCTCGGGAAACGCCTGCGCAGCTCGACAGGCTGTGGGTGCGGTGACCGAGCAGCCACCCTGATCCACACCCGGTCCACGTGCAGACGATGCGCAGGCTGATGGCAAAGGGCTGCACGGCCTGGGGAGGGGACAGAGGGCACCCGAGCCTAGGACAGAGGGCTGCTATCCTGATTCCCACCCGTGACATGGAGTCCAAACTTCCAGTCTTGTTTCTGGAACCTAGCCCTTTGCAGCAACCCTAACCGGGAATTAATTATTTTCTTTTATATTTACGTACGTAAGTACTCTCTACACCCAATACGGGGCTCAAACTCACGACCCCAGCATCCAGAGTCACATGCTCTTCCGCCCGGGCCGGCCATGACCTTGGCCGGGGGCTTGGCCGAGGACCGCTCACAGGTGGTTGTGTCCTCCACACTCCCTCCCACCCGGCTGCCGTGTTGGCAGGGCTCCCACTGTGTCATCCCCTCCTCAGAATGTCCAGGAAGGCCTGACATGCAGGGGTCGGGGGAAAGGACCAGGAGTTCTTTGCTTCAACCCGAGTGCTCAAGGCAGGACCCCTGGTGAGTCCCCTGTCCTCGCTCAGGACCCAGGTGCCATCATAAGGAGCAGTGGAGCGAAGGCGAGGTCTCCCAGGGGACAAGACCTAACCTCCCACCTGCTACCACACAGCCCGGGAAGCCTGACCAGACACTGTTCTGGGACCAGCTGCTCTACCAGTGGGAGATGACGAGCAGGTGAGCCCCGGGGCCTGGAAACACCCTCGGCAAGGGCTGGTTCTCCATAGTACCCACATCTCTTCGGCGCGTGACAGGCCCAGTATTTTTAACATTAGCACTGGCATTCCATCTTGAAAGGAGACGGCCCGTCTACTGAGAGTGGACGCTGACGTGACCGTCTTCGCAGCCCAGCTCATCTGCCAACACCCGCTGTGGGCTCAGACGCTGGGTTGCTGCCACCCGGAGTCTGGCCCCCCGCCTGCCCCGTGGCACTCGGGTCATTCTGGGTCAGGCGAAACTGCCCAGGACTGAGGCCTAGAAAGGCCTCAGTTTCCCTATCAGAGACCTAGAATCTGAACCTGACCCCGCACTGCACTCAGCGAGCACGGCCTCAGATCCTGTACCTGGGCCTCGTGCATCCCCGGCTCTGGTTAGAAATGAGGGTTCCAGGGCGCCTGGGTGGCTCAGTGGGTTAAGCTGCTGCCTTCGGCTCAGGTCATGATCTCAGGGTCCTGGGACTGAGCCCCACATCTGGCTCTCTGCTCAGCAGGGCGCCTGCTTCCCTTTCTCTCTGCCTGCCTCTCTGCCTACTTGTGATCTGTCAAATAAATAAAAAAAAAAAAAGAAATGAGGGTTCCCCACAGAGGGGGCCCTGGACACCCACGGTGTCTGCCTGTTTCCCCATCGGAAAGAAAGGAGCCCGTATCTGTGGCTGGGGGTGGGAGGAGGGCCTCCGGCCAGAGTGGTGCCCCCCGTGGAGGGCTGGAGCGAGCCCGGCCGGGATGTGGGTTAGTCCAAGGGACCCATGAGCCCTCCATCCACACCCGGCAAACAAGGGCTTAGGGCGTCCAGGGCGAGCCTTTATCCGGCTGCCACTGCGGCCACCGCGGGTCACTTCTGCGGCAGCCTGGCCGCCGGGCAGTACAAGTCTGAGCCGGACCCCAGGGCGCCGCACGCGACCAGGACACCGGGGCCGAGGGCTGCTCCCGGACTCCACCGGCAGCCCCAGTCGGGCCGCGCCTTTTCCAACAGCGGAGGAGCAGCCGAGCCGGGGCCGCCCCGCCGGGGGCCCGCGCGCGCGTGACCGGCTCCCCCGGAGCCCGCTCGGCAGCGGGGCTCTCGGCCCCGGGGCGGGTCCTCGGGCGAGCGCGGGGCGGCCGTGCGCCGAGCGGGCAGCGCGTACCCGGGCGCACACTCACCTGCGCCGCGCCGCGCACCGGCATCCCGCGGCTCCGGGCGCCCCCGCCCGCCCAGGCGCGACCCCGGAAGTGCCGCGGGCGCCTGCGCGGAGGAGGACGGAAGCCCGGCGGGGTGGTGCAGACCTGCCCCCGGAGGAGGGGCCGGGCGGGGGGTGGTCCTCGGGTCCCGGACAAAGGCCCGGGGGCTGCTGGGACGCTGGCGGCGGGAGAAGGCGGGGACGGCGACGGGCTTGGGGCGAGAGGCCCCGCAGCCCGGTGCCCCTCCCAGTGCCCTGCGTCCCGCACCCGCGCGCGGGGGTCCCCGCACGGCCGCCAGCCGGGGGTCAGAACCCCAAGAGCGCTAGTCCTCGAGGGGCCCCGGCTGGGGGCTGGGGGGCCGCCGACGCTTGGGTGGGGTAACCGGGGGCGAGCGTGGGGGAGGCGGCGGCCGAGCCCCGGTCCTCGGGAAACCCCTTCGTGGACTGCGGCTCCGGGAGGCCCTTGGGAGGAGAGGGCCTGGGGAGTGGGCCAGGAAGGCGGGCCGGGAAGCGGATGCCAGGCCCCTCCGGAAGCCCCCGCCCCCGCCCGGGTCTTCCTCACCCGCCGGGCCGGTGGTCCTGTCTGCAGTGCGCCCCGCCCCTTCAGCCGCGCCGAGTGCCCAGAGGAGCCAGCCCACGTCCTCCGCGGGCTTGCGGGATCGTGGCCAGCCTCGAGAGGCCGGAGCCCCGGACCCGGGAACGCCCGGCTTGCGGCTGTGGGGGAGCGGCCCGCCCTCCACCTCTGATGCTGCCCACCCTGTCTGTAATTTCTCAAGTCGGACAGGAGTCCCCAAGGGCAGTGGCGGGGAGGGCAGTGCCTGGTTCAGAGGAAGGAAGGGCCGTGGGTGGCGGTGGGGGGTCCAAGCACAGGGCTGTTGGCTGGGGACGGTGCTGCGGCTGGGGTGGGAGGGGCGCACTGCTGGCTCCTGTGGCTCAGAGAGCAGACTTGGAGGGTGAAGGCGGGTCCTAACACCCAGCAGAGTACCCCGCTCCTGTCCTCGTAGCTCCAGGGTCCCCTGTAGGGCCCTTCTGCTGCGACAGGCACAGTCCCACCCCCCCCGGATCACCCACCCCTGTCCTGGGGAGACCCCTGAGCAGCAGGGCCTGCAATTGGCTTTCTGGGACCCTGGCCCTGGGGCGGGTACCATGGGGCCTCAGAGCCATTGGATACAGGATGATGTCAGGAAGTGCCCCAAGAAGGGGGCCCCAGATGAGCACAGAGCCAGTCCAGCTGGGAAGATTCCGGTCTCCCACTGTGCTCCTCTGAACAGCCCAGGCGCTGAAGTCCAGCCTGGGCCCAGGCCCAGCAGCTCTGCTGGCCCCCTCCCCTCGGGGCTCCCACCAGGACTTCCTGGGGAGGGAAGGGCCCAGCCTTCCAGCTGCCTGTTGGAAGCCGCCCAGCTGTTTGTGGCATTGGGTGCCGCTTCCGGGGGTGGGCCCTGTGTCATAAATCCATGCTTGTAAGGCCTAGTTGTGACGCCCACCCTGTCCTTTCCTCCTTACCCCCTGCAGCCATTCTGCCCAAACAATGACTCCTGCTTCCTGCCTTCCTTTGTGCCCCGTCCCCCTTCTCTCCTCCCTTTCCCCTCTTCCTTTCTCCCCGCGGTGGCGGGAAACAGTCCTCCTGCTGAGGGCTGGGGCAGGGTGGGTGCTGCTTGTACTTATTTTTGTTCTGATTTCACAAATGGGTGCTGAGTCCTTGTAGAAGTCACGGGGAGTCGACTAGTTCCCGGAGGGGTGTGTTATCCCCACCTTGAGAACGAGGAACGAGTGCCTCGGAGCACAGACCCGCCGCCTAGGAGCGGACGCAGAGTCCAGATGTCCCAGCCAGAGTGCGGGGGCTTGTGAAACCTCTGCAGGGTGGGCCCTACTCTGCCCCGCCCCCATTTCCTGGCTCGTGGTCTGAGGCTTCATGGCGGGCTGGAAGTGGTGGGCCGAGCATTCCCTGTGTGGCTGTGGCTGGCTGGGGGTAAGAGGAGGGGGTCCTGGTGGGAGGAGGGGCCTAGGGCCTCCTGGGTCCTCAGTGTGTCCTGCTGCTGGCCTGGAGAGGTGTGTTGGAGGATGTCAATGTGAGACAGAGGTGAGGACACCCTTCCTGCTTTGAAAGGGAGCAGTGCCAGGGCAGGCTGCCCTGGGCCCTGCTGTGCCAGGGCCACCAGTGACCGAAGCCTTGAGAGTCCACAATTCGGCACCAGCACTGTCCCAGGGCACCGGTACACTGGCTCTGTGTCCTTTTCTCTAACAGGGACGCTGACACGGTGGACGGGAGAGTTGGGTCTGAGCCCAGGGGGCTGCATGTCCGAAGGCAGAGGGCCCTGCGGCAGGGGCTCCGTGGGGGTCAGAGCCTCCATGGGTGGAGAGGGCAGCCAAAGGAGGTGTGTGGGGACGGCCCTCTCCCTTTCTGGGCTGTGCAGCCTGTGCTGCTGAGCCTTGGGCCCAGGTACTTAGGGGACCACTTGCTGTGCACTGAGACACGGGGAGGGGCCGCTGCCTCGGAAATAGTCCGTGACTTCAGACCCCTGGCTGGCCTGGCCCGAGTTCATCTCCTCCCCAAATAGCCAGGGGCTGGTGCTGGGCCCACCCCGTTGCCCAAAGCCCAGGATGGCCCGCTGAGCTGAAGCTTCCAGGATAGCTGATGGCCACTCGCCTTGCTTGGGATCTTAACCCCTCAGGTCTTACGGTGAAGTCCACTGCCACGGGGGTGGCCCAGATAGCCATCCACCCCTCGCTGTCCACAGGCTAGGTGGTTGCAGCGGATTTCCATTTCTCTAGGGCTGGGAGGAAGAGGAAGGAGAGGCACTGGGAGCTAGCTTTCCGTGCAGGGGCTCCGCCAGAGCAGAGGGCAGTGGGGCCGACTGGAGGGAGGGCTTACGTGTATGAATACATGTGTCCTTGTGGACCAGGCCAGGCACTCACGGGTCGAGGCCCCTGCCCGCACTGTCCTATGATGCTGAGGTCCTCGTTCAGGATGCTGGGGTGGGCTGAGAACCTGGGGCTTCCTGGCTTTGCCTGCCAGGGTATTCCGAGCTGTGCCTTAGGAGGAACCCCCGGGAGGGGCAAGAGTTTGTCACAGAGGCTGCTGGGAATCGTACTTGAAGTCAGGGACCAAGAGGACCCTCGGGAGGTGACTTGATTGCACACAGGGGAGGCTGTTTTCCTGTCACTGAAGGCACAGACCACCCTTCCTGGGAAGGGAGCCTGCCTTCTGTTAAGGCATCTCTTGTCGACTGAAGGTGACTCCTTGGAGGGGGGTTTTAGCGGGAAGCCAGCCAGGGCTGATGCTCCTGGCAGTGGGGAGTGAGTCTCTGGGTCATGGAACGGGTCTGGGTGGCACCCTGCTGCGGCCACTGCCGGAGGGGACCTGCCAGCGCCAGGCGCCCAGTGCCTTGGATATGAGCCCAGGCCCTGGACTCCAGAGATGACACCACCGCCAGCCTCCGTCTGGGCATCCCGGTGGGTGGGGCCTGCCTCTCCCTGGCAGGGGTCGAGAACGCCTGAGAATGCCTGGTATGGAGAGACGGTCCTGTCTGGCTGAGAGCCTGGCATGGGAGGAGTGGCACGTGTAGGCTGCAGGAGCTGTGAGCATCAGGGCTGGGCGGCCTCCCTCTCGCCTGGTGTCCCCAGTCCACCCGCAGTCGCCCTCCCCACGCCCCAGTGAAGGAGTCCTCCTGGAGCTCCTCCAAAGCTTTTCTTGTCTCCCCCTAAGAATTGTGTTGATGTGCCTGTGTTCATAGAAGACCCAGTATGGGCAGGCACCGCTTTGGTCCCTGGTGTGAGGGACGATATGAGCAGGGTGCCTGTCCCTCGCCCAGGTTCCAGGGCCAGCCAGGAAGTTGGTGGCCACCTCAAGCCATCAGCGTTGTTTTCTGTGGGTCCAGAGCCCAGTATTGTGCACAGTCAGGCCCGGCATGACTTGTGGACAGTGGCTGCAGCTCTGCTCAGAGAACTCCAGTGCCGCCTGGTCCCAGAGCAGCAAGGGGCATGTTTGTAGGTACTGTGAGGCTTGAGGTGCTGGGCCCCATGGGCCCCAAGGTGCTCTGGGAATCAGTGAAAGTGTCCTTAGGGGATCTATGGTCCCAGTTCTGTTTTCTGCGGGGCCATAAGCGAGGCCACTGTGAGGAAGTCTGGGTGGTCAGCCCTGCCTGTGCCCTGCTATTGCCAGTCCCCTCCCCGCTCCCCTGGTCTTCCTCTGGGTGGTTCAGCCCCACACACTCGCGATGTCAAGAGAGAGGGATGCTGGGAAGTTCCACTAGGACCTCAGCCTCAAACAGATGGGTCATCTTGTGTCCAGCTCCGAGAGTGCAGGGGTGAGCCCATGGTGGGGGGCCGGGGCGGTGGGGGGCTCTGAAAGAGGGAACCATCCAGAGTGGACGGAGGTCCTGCTCCCTTCAGAGAAGGGGGCTGTGGAAGACAGAAGGCTGTAGGCTCAGCCTGGCCTGGGAGCACCTGCTGGGGGGCACGGGGGTCTGGGGAGGGGCCCACTGCCCTGATCCTGCCTTTGCTGAGTGTTGATGTGCACCAGGGTGTAAACACACGAATGGGAGTGTACAGTGGTGGTTGTGTGCATGTGTGTAACTGGATGGAAGGGGCTATGAAGTCGTGTGTGTGTGGATATGTGAGTTGGTGTGAGGGTTTAGAGCATGGGGGCTGTGTGTGTGAGTGTGCGTGTTCCCATGAGGCTGGCTGAGTGTAGGGGATGTGATTTAGTGTGGCCTTTGGAGGAAGTCGGCAGTTCGGTTTGCAGGAGATGCAGGGACGCTGTCCCGCACCGCCCCCTCCCCCTTTCTGAAGCACAAGTCAGGGCAGAATGAGGTCTGGTCTCACCCTGGAGTCCGGGAGAGGCCGAGAAGCCTGGGACTCCCGCGGGACCACTAGGTCCTCTCTCCGCGGCCAAGGCGCCCGAGACCCCCCCCCCCCCCGCCGCAGCTATCCCCGCGGGCAGACGAAGCGGAGAGCAGAGCCCAGCGGCCTTCCCGGAGGAGGTGACTCGGGCCGGGCGGGCCGCGCGCATTCCTGAGCCCTGAGTAAGCGCGGCCGCCCCCTCCGGCCGGGCCCGCCCCCGGCGCGCACGCCCCTCGCTCCATGGCATTCCCGGGCGGGCGGGCCGGACGGGCGCGCGGGCGGGGACTCGGCGCGGGCGCCCTCCCGGCCGGCGGCGGCGGCGGCGGCGGCGGCGGTAGCGGTAGCCCCTCCCCGGAGCCCTCAGGACCTCCGAGGACCCCCGCGACCCGGGGCCGGCGGCGGCGGTGAGTGAGCGCGCGCGGGAGCGGGGCGCAGGGCTCCGCGGGCCGGGCGGGTCCCGGGCCCGTGTCCGCTGCGCGCGGGGCCCGTGCTCTGTCCGCCGCGGTCGGGGGCGCGGGCAGCGGCCGAAGTCGGGCCGGGTGCGGGGTCCAGGCCTGGGTCCGGGCCCGGGGTCGGGCGGGTCCCGACGCGGAGCGTCCGGACTTTCCTCCCCGGACTTTTCCGAGCCACCCGCGGAGGCGGCCCGGCCCGGGATTCCTCGCCCGGCGCGCCGCAAAAATAGCCCAGGGCCGGATTAGCACGTCCGCGCGGCCTGACCGGGCCGGACAGCTCGGCTCCAGCCGCCGCCCAACAGCTGAGGGTCCCGCGAGCGCCAGGGCTCGCGGCCCCGGGCCGTCCCCGGGCCCCTCCGCGCTGCGCCCTCCCCCTCCCGGACGTGTTCCGTCGCGGCCGCCGCCGGTGGGTGGTGCTCCGAGCCGAAACTCCGGCTCCGGGGGTGGGACTCCCCGGATCGTCCCGGTCGCAGCCGTAGTCTCCGGGGGTGGGATACTGTCACCACCAGTAGCCGGAGCAGGGAAGCTAGCAGCGGGGGCCGGCCCTCCGTCCCGCTCCGCAGCCTCTGTCTCCCCACTCTGTAAGTCCCGGAACTGCAGGGACCTGGGAGCTGCTCCCAGGACACCCCCTACCTTGTGCTTAGTGGCCAGGAGGAGCGGAGGTGGGGGGCGTGGGGGCGTGCCTGGAAACAGGCCTTCTATTGGCAGGCGAGACCGACCCAGGTGCTCCCGGCGCTGGGGGAGGGCCTAGGCCTGCTGGGGGCCTGTTCGTGGTTGGATGGGGCCTGGGCAGGGGGTCTCGCAGCCCGGCCTGCCCCTGGCCCAGCTGGCTCCTGACGGGGGTGCGTTCTGTGCAGCTTGGGCTGTGTGTCCCTGTGTCCGTCTGGGTGGGCGGGGCCTGGATCTGGAGGCCCTAGCCTTGGACTGGGAACCCCCTCCCGCCCCCCCACCTTGGGACTTCCTGAAGAAGATTCGAGGATGAAACTGGCTTTTCAGGTTTGGCCCAGCTAGATGCTGGGTTCTCCCCACCCCGCTGAAGCCAGCCCCAGCCCCCTAGAGAGCCCCCAGAAATCAGGAGGAAGGAGAGGAACCCAGCAGCTGTCTGGGGTCCACGAGGCCCCCGCCCCCCCGGAGCCTCCTGGGCTGCACCCCCTGCCACCCGGGGACTGTTCTGGGCCAGCTGGGCTCTTTTCCATGAGAACCAGGCAGAGGTAGTAGGTGGGCACAGGAGTCAGTGGCCCCACATTCCGGGCCCCAGGCCCCATCCCAAGACTTCCAAGCAGCCGATCAGTGTCCCACGGCGCGGACCGGCTGACTGAGGGCGGCCGAGCTGGAGGATGGCTGGGACCACGTTCCTCGCGCCGGTTAGTGTCCCAGCCCAGTGGCTGTCCTTGGGAACTCCGGTTCTCAGGGGGCCTTGGCTCAGAGGTGCTCACTCAGGTGTCCTCTGCCTTCCAGCACCTCCCTCAGGGTCTTCTCAGCTCCCAGCCCCGGCTCTGGGCACACCCTGTTGCTCTTTTCCCTGGATGTGAGGTGCTCCCCTTCCGGCTCCGGTCCCCGACTTCGGTGTCTGTGACAGGATCCACTTTCTGCCCGAGGATCGTGTTCCCTGACTTCTGCCTGTTTTCTGGGTTGGGTGTGTTGGGTGTGTTGGAGGATGACCCCCTCCTCCCTGAACTGAGAGGCTCTGGGTCGGGATAGGGTGGAGTTGGGGGCCCAGATGGGATGCCCCCCCCCGGGGGGGGCTGTGGTCAGCGCCAGCTAGGCGGGCACACAGGTCCCTTGGACCCCAGCTCCTGGGCAGACACTGTCCAATGCTTCGAGCCCCCTTGGAGTCACCAGGTGGTGACTGGCCTCTCAGGGCCTCTGTGTTCTTATCTGGAAGGTGGCTATAGAGGACCCTTCCCAGGGGCTGTTAGGTCAGCAGGCTCTGTTGGAGCCAGGTTTCAGGCCAGTGTGCCAGGCTGCTGCTGACAAGCCGTTTCCGCTCTTACAGCAGACTCCAGGACTTGGCTTCCGTCCCCTCCCGGGACCTCTCCAGTGCTCTCCAGGAGCTGGCCCGTCCTGGGAGGAGGTCGCTAAGCCCGAGGGTGTCAGGTCCTTGGGGGAACTTCTGGGGGCGCTGACATGGGGCCCGGCTGTTCACCTGCCCTTGACCCAGGCAGACTGGTCCCTGTACAGCTTGAGGGAGGGTTCCCCTAGCCCCGGAGCCCCAGCGAGGCTGCAGGCTGTTGGAGCCAGAATTGGCCATAGCTAGACTCCGCCCCCTTGCTGATGGACATGGGGCCCGTCCCGCAGCCTCTCTGAGCCTTGGGGTACGCTTGCCCTGTCGGGCACTGTCGCAGCCAGTGGGGTGGGGTCAGGGGCTTTGGTTCTGGCTGTTGGTGACCCCCGGGTTTGGACGGTACCCCTCCCCGGGACTTGTGCTCCCTCTGCACCACCATCCCTGGGGAGGTCCCTGAGTGTAATTATCTCTAGGAATTCCTGTGCCTTCGGGGGACCGCCTGAGCTGGGAGCCTCCGGTTCTGTTACTGGCCTTCTGCATACCTGTTTGGGGTGATGTCTGTCCCGTGATAGGTGACGAGGGAAGGTGGGATTGATGGGTCTTGTTGGGGATGGGCAGAGGGGCACTGTGGGGCCATCAGCGAGGTCTTGGGCCTGCCCTGCTGCTGTCGGACCTCGTTTCCTTCACGGACAAGCGGTGAAGTCTGGGAGGGTTGAGGACGACTGAGGACCCGACCATGACCAATTTCAGCATTTATGCCATTTATACGTGAGACAAAGAGGCAGAGAGAGAGGCGGGTGACGTGCTTTGCTGCACAGTAGCAGGGGGTGGGGAAGGCCTGTATTCTGGGGTGCCGCACAGTGAGCGATCCCCGCTAACGGGGGATTTCTGGGGTTGGGCATCTGTTCGATGGGGTGGAACCTAAGTGTGAGGGTCAGAGGTCAGGGCTGTGGTGTGGAGGCTGGAGGATTTGGCCCCTCCTGGGATCTGCTCAGGTGAGGCAGGACGGGTCTGGGCGGGTGTCCTGGGGTGGGGCCTATTGCTCCTGCTGACCTTGGCGGTGGGCGGTCCCCTGGGCAGGGCGGGGCCAGGGTGTGGCAGGTCTTGTCCTGGGGCTGGGCGGTCCCCGCTGCCCACCCGGCCTTCGGCTGCCCACCCGTTTCATGGTGGCTCTGGCCGCTGTCTAAGCTGAGCCGGGCCACACCTGCCGTCCCCCCTCCCCAACCGTGTCCTCCTGCCTCTTGGTCATGGCCTCCCACACTGGGCATCTCTGCAGGCTCCCATCTCCAGGATCCTCCCATGGCTTCTGCTCCGGTCCTACATGCTCTTGGGCCAGTGCACTCCCCACCCCTTGCCCCCCCTTTGCCTGCCCTCAGGGAGTTCCCGGGAGCTGGCAGGCAGGGACCAGCCTGGCTGTTGGGTCCAGCTGTGTGCCAGGCGCTGCTGTGGTCCCTCCTTTTCAGAGGAAGAAGTGGAGGCTTATGGAGGGTTGCGTGTGGTGAAGACGAGCAGGTGTGCCCAGTGTCTCAGGCCAGGCTCTCCCCTGGCTTCCCAGCTCCCTTTCCCCCCGCCCCCACCCAACCCCTGCACCGGCCTCTCATCCCCAGGGCAGGAACGGGCTTCAGTAGGACCTGCCCCTGTTCCCCACCCAGCCCTCTGCCCTGAGGCTGTCCATTGAAAGCAGCCCTCGCGGTCCTCTGACCCGGTGGGTCCCCCTCGTCCCCCAGCCTGGTCTCGGGCCCTCATCCATCGTGAGCCCCACGCTTGTCCTGTGCTGCCCGGCGTGCCTGGGTGTCATGTCTGCCCCTGTTTTGTGCCCCTGGCTGGGCTCAGGCCCCACTCGTAGCATTTACTAAGCCGCTGTGTGCATTTTCTACTTACATCTCCACGCCCCGTGCGGGGTCTCCTGGGGGGGCTGGGCCCTGGGTGGGCAGCCTTGACTGCTGCCGGCCTGACTCAGATGCTGTGTGACCCCAGGCCGTCAGGCCCTCCCCGGGCTGCGGTTTCTTCCTGCCCTGAGGGGGGTCAGCGGAGCAGAGATGCTGTTGGGATCCCCCCCGGAGGGGTTGGCTGGGAACAAGAGCCCACTGTGCGCCTGGGGGAGGCCTGGACACTGGGCCACTGTCTCCTCTGGGTGGGCACTCTTTGTCCTCTGGGCCTGCCCCCCCTGCTGGGGCCCACTCTGGGGCACCCCCCTTGTGAATCCCACCCACTTGAGGCCCAGATGGGGAACTGTGCACACAGGGGTGGGGCAGACCAGGAGCCCGCAGCACGGGGGCCCCTGTGGGTTACAGAACACCCCCCACTGCCCCTAGAACAGGAAGGACTTGGGTGGAGGTGAGGGGCACCGTGAGATGTGGGCAGACGGGCACAGGGACCGGGTGCCTCCCTCGTGAGCTCAATGGCCCTTGTGTTCCTGGGGCTTCCTGGAGGCCCAGGCTAGCCGGGGTGGGGAGTGTCCCCGTGTACCTCACCACCCTTTTCCCAATTCTTGGCTTGTGCTGTCCCTGCCCCGACCTCGTCCTGGGGTCCGCCCCTCCTCCCAGACCCAGTTGAAGGGTCTTTTTTGGGAACTCTTCATCACTCCAGATCCTGAGGACGGGCCCAGTGTTTCCCAAGCAGCGGCTCGGACCAGGCCTGCCTTGGACACCGCGGGCCCAGCAGGAACAGCGCAGCCTACACGTGGATGGTGCCCCGGGCTGTGCCCGGGAATCCGGGGCTGGGAGCATCTGCCAGGGGTGGGGCCAGTCTTCTGACCCAGGCTGTGTGCAGGGGTGAGGCATGGCGAGAGCCTTGAGCTGGAGGTGGGGAGCTGGCTGTGGGGAGAGGCTGCGGGGGCAGCGGAGCTGGGAGGGTCCTGGATGTGTGGGGTGCTGGGAGCGGTCAGCTGGTGGGGTTTCTTGGACTCCTAAGTCGAGAACCAGTCCATACCCTGGGAGGTGCTGGGAATGTCTGGAGGCTCCTGGGGAGGCCAGCCCCCTGGAGCCTGGCCTGGGGCCTCCTGGTGGCCGGTCTGGGGCCAGGAGGAGCTGAGCGCTGGCCGGAGGGGCCGTTCTGGGCGACCCGTGCCCACCTGGTTTGTGTTGGGGTTCCGCTCTCTCGGGTCGGGAGAGCTGTGAGCTGCTCTGAGCGGACCCCTGGCTTCCCTGTTCTGTGTAAGTGCAGCGGAAGCTGTGGGCGGCCCCCCAGGCCTGTCTCTGGGAACGCGCCCCCCCCAGCGTGCGGCCTCAACCTCTGGGAAGGCAGGCCCCTGTTCTCTGAGACTCCGCTGGCCTGTGTGTAAAGCGGGGGTGGGGTTTTCCATACCTCTCCTCCGGCAGGCAAAGGGAGGCTGTTTCTAGAGGCATTCGCGGGTGGGGTCTCAAATCTGAATTTTTTTTTTTTTGAGATTTTATTTATGTGAGAGAGAGCGTGTGCGCGGGGTGGTGCCGGTGGCCGTGGCTGTGGGGGGAGGGGAGGGGCGGAGGGACGTGCGGCCTCCCTGCTGAGTGCGGGGCCTGCCTCCCTCCACCTGGCTCCCTCCCAGGACCCTGAGATCCTGACCTGAGCGCGAGTCACAGGCGCCTCCCCCAACCCGAGTGTCAGAGTCGGTCTGGCTCCCAAGCTCCTGGATGTGGCAGAGGAGTTTTGGGGTCTCCACTCACTCCCCTGCTGTCTGTGCCCCACACTGTGCTTTGGATCCCGTGTCCAGACACCTTGCTGTCCTTCTTTGGGAGAGCTGCCCTGAACGGGACCTCCTGTAAGGGGAGGGGACGTGGCCCTGTGGTCGTTGCCTCTCCATCCCATGGACAGAGTCAGACCCTGGGCTTTCCACCCCTGGTCTCAGGTGCTCAGGGAGGTGCTGGGCGTGGCTGGGGGCCGTCCTTGGGTGCGTGGCGCCCCCTGGTGGTCCTAGCGGTCACCCCCGCCCAGGTGGCTCGAGGAAGTGGAAGGTCCCCTGCAGGCAGGACCTCCCAGACCCAGGGGAAGCCCTGTGGCCACTCCTCGGTGAGCTGGAGGGGTCACGCCCCCTGCGGTGGGTGCGCAAGGTCTCCTGTCCTTGCAGCAGATGGCACGGGGGTTCTAGGGTGAGGTCTGGGTCCGACAGGGTTGAGATGCAGACTGGTGTGGGACCCTCAGCCTGCCTGTGTGCTCACACTCGCTCACACCTCTGCCCTGGCTGTTTCCCGTGGGAGGAGCAGCCTTGGTCCCTTGTCACCACCTCCTGTCTTTGCTGGACGTCACCTTTTCAGGAGGATTTCTGTGGCCCGGGAACCGTAATGTGCTGTTTTCCCTGCCATGTGTCTCACGTTTTAACATAGCGTGTTGACTGATTTTAAGATTTTATTCATTCACTTGAGAGAGAGCGAGTGTGTGCATGTGCGGGGCAGAGCAGAGGAAGAGGGAGAAGCAGGCTCCGCGCTGGGCACACGACCCTGAAGTCACTACCCCAGCAGGAAGCCAGAGTCGGAGGACGCCTAACCGACTGAGGCACCCAGGCAGGCGCCCCGTGCTTACTTAGGGGTTATGTTTGGACAGTGTGCACCAGGAAGGCTGGGATTTTGTCCCCTCTTGTTTCCTTGTCTCTCCATCCGTGTGTCCCTAAGTTCCCGGGAGTGACTCTTAGTGGACGCTCAAATATTTGTCACGAATGTTTTTCGACAGTGAATGGATTCGTGTTGTCTGAGGACCTCGTTCGTGCCCTGCGATGTCTCTTGGGATGACTGAAGGGGGCGCGGAGCTCAGAGAAGGGCTCCAGGATCATCCCTGTGTGCGGCAAACCCTGGGAGGTCTGTGGGCACCGTTCCTGAATGCCCCCTGCCCCCCCAGGCCCGTCGTGCCCCTCTGGCGCCATGAGCGAGGCCCGCAGGGACAGCACCAGCAGCCTGCAGCGCAAGAAGCCGCCCTGGCTGAGGCTGGACATCCCGGCGGCGGCACCCCCAGCGGCGGAGGAGCCTGGCTTCTTCCAGGTAGGCCCCGGCCGGCAGGGGCTGGGGGGGTGCCCTGTCCAGCCTCCTCACTGCGACCCCGCCGCCCAGCCCCTGAGACGCCAGGCTTTCCTGCGGAGCGTGAGTATGCCCGCCGAGACCGCCCGTGTCCCCTCGCCCCACCGTGAGCCCCGGCGGCCCGTCCTGCAGCGCCAGACGTCCATCACACAGACCATCCGCAGGTAGTCTCCTGGTGCGGCGGCTCCGCCAGTGGGCGTGCTGGGGGGCCGGGGCTCGGCACATGCGTCCCCTGAGGGCACGGGGGCTGGGAACAGAGCCAGGGTTCCTCCTGTCTTGGCTTTCTCCTTGATCTCGTTCCCTGGGTCACCCTGTCCTCCTTCGTAGCTCTGGGGACCAGCTGCTCTCCCCTCCAGCACTTGCTTTCTCCTTCTCTGTCTCTCCTGTCCCCATGCTGTGGTCCCCGGATAGCCGACAGGTGCGCTTCGGGCGTGTCCACACTCTGCCCCTCTTGGGTCCCCCCGCTGCCCGCAGGGCTCTCCCACAGCGCCGGTCTCTTTCTCGGTCCCTGCTCAGGTACCTGGGGCCGGGCGTGAGTGTGCGGACGTCAGGTGGCGTGTGCATGGCTTGCGATCTCTTGGGGCTGCCGGCGCTGTTGGTGTTCCCTGGGGTTCCTCGACAGCCCGTGCTGGCAGTGGTTTTCCTTGCATGGCCTGGAGGGACGGACGGCTTGCCTGGGCTTACAGTGCCCACTGCCTGAGTTCTCGGGCGTCTGAGGTCACGCTGCTGCCCGGGGCCAAGCTCCCTGGCTCCAGGCTGAGCTCTGCGTGCCGCCTGTGGACTCGGTGTCTGTCCCTGAAAGTCCTTCTCCGTGAAGGGTTGAGGATCTGTGTAGCGTACCCGTGGGGCGAGGCCTGCCGTCTGCGGTTCTGGCGGGATCCTGGAGCTGGCTGATTATTCAGGGGGTGGCCGGGGCTGGAACCCACTGCCCTCTCAGTGAGGCCCAGCCCACCTGGACTGCTCCAGCGCGATGGGAGGCTGGGGTCGGAGCTGGCATCCGTGAGGAGGGCCCCTGAGGCTTCCCCATGCTGAGAGCCTCCTGTGGCAGGGGCACCGCGGACTGGTTCGGGGTGAGCAAGGACAGTGACAGCACCCAGAAGTGGCAGCGGAAGAGCATCCGTCACTGCAGCCAGCGCTACGGAAAGCTGAAGCCCCAGGTCATGCGGGAGCTCGACCTGCCCAGCCAGGACAACGTGTCTCTGACCAGCACAGAGACGCCCCCTCCGCTGTATGTGGGCCCCTGTCAGCTGGGCATGCAGAAGGTACGCCCGTCCACTGCCGCCTCCAGGCAGCCTCTTGTGCGGCTCCTGGGGCTGGGGCTGTGTGCCCACCGCAACCGAGGGGATCCCTCAGAGCTCCTGGCGGGGGAGGGTGCTCAGACGGTGCCAGCAGGGCACCTCGGATACCCTCTGGGAACCGGGAACCAGGCTAGGGGACGGGGTCCTGGGATCGTGCCTTGGGGCCCGTCTCTGGGTGTGAGACCATCTTGGGATGAACAGCAGGGCACAGGCACTCTAGGTGAGGATGGGGACCCTCTTGGGTTCCTGCACAGCCATCCAGGGACCCACTGACCCACCGGGAGGGGCGGCAGCTGTGTTCTCCAGGGCGGGGTCTGGGGTGGGGAAGGAGCCCCATAGCAATGACCCTGGCCTTGACTCTTACGTCTCCTTCCGTCTGCCAGATCATAGACCCCCTGGCCCGGGGCCGGGCCTTCCGCGTGGCGGATGACACGGCCGACGGCCTGAGTACCCCGCACACACCTGTCACGCCGGGTGCCGCTTCCCTCTGCTCCTTCTCCAGCTCCCGCTCGGGCTTCAGCCGGCTCCCGCGGCGACGCAAGCGCGAATCCGTGGCCAAGATGAGCTTCCGGGCAGCCGCGGCCCTGGTGAAGGTGGGTGCGGGGGCTGGGGTGTGGGGGCGGGGGTGTGGAGCGGGGCGGGGCCGGGGTGTGGAGCGGGGCGGGGCCGGGGTGTGGAGCGGGGCGGGGGGCGGGGTGTAGAGCGGGGGTCCGGCAGCCAGCACGCTGCATGCTCCCCTCCCTTGCCCGCAGGGCCGCTCTCTTAGGGACGGCACGTTACGCCGGGTGCAGCGCCGGAGCTTTACTCCCGCCAGTTTCCTGGAGGAGGACACGGCGGACTTCCCCGACGAGCTGGACACGTCCTTCTTTGCCCGGGTAAGAGCACACGGACATCCCTGCGACCCCGCCGTCTGCGTGTCCTGCCCTGATCGCCCCTGTTTGCTCAGGAAGGAGTCCTCCATGAGGAGCTGTCCACGTACCCGGACGAGGTGTTCGAGTCCCCTTCGGAGGCCGCGCTCAAGGACTGGGAGAAGGCCACCGAGCAGGCCGACCTCACGGGTGGGGCCCTGGACCGCAGTGAGCTCGAGCGCAGTCACCTGATGCTGTGAGTGCTGCCAGGCTGGGGGGCGGCCGCGCTGTGGGCGGTCAGGAGCAGCTGGGCGGTGGGACACGCGTGCTCTGGAGGCCTGAGGCAAGGAGTAGTCTCGTGGGCTGTGGCTGTGGGACCCAGGGCGGGGCACTCTCCAGGGCTCAGCGACCCACCTGCCTGACAGCAATGGCCCTGGAGGCCCTAGGCTGGACAGAACCCATCAGGGAGGAGGCGGGTGTTGTACTTAAGGCTTGTAGATCGCGGGGGGAACCTTAGGTAGGTTGGTAGGTCAGGTCATAGGTCGAATTCCACCTCTCCATCTCCGGAAGGGCTCTGAAGCTTTCCAGGGTAGGGACACTGGTTGACCGCACTGCGCCATCCCTGCTAGATGGGAACGAGGGGGGGGGGGGAGGTCATCCTGGTCCTGCCGGGAGGGATCACCGCAGGCCGGGCATCTAAGGCGGGAGGTGACAGCGCCCCTTCCCCCAGGCCCCTGGAACGAGGCTGGCGGAAGCAGAAGGAGGGGGGCGCAGCAGCCCCGCAGCCGAAAGTGCGGCTGCGGCAGGAGGTGGTGAGCGCGGCGGGCCAGCGGCGGGGCCAGCGCATTTCCATGCCCGTGCGCAAGTTCTTTGCCCGGGAGAAGCGGCCGTACGGGCTGGGCATGGTGGGCCGGCTCACCAACCGCACCTACCGCAAGCGGATCGACAGCTATGTCAAGCGGCAGATCGAGGACATGGACGACCACAGGTGCGCGGGGCGCGGGGGCGCGGGGGCGCGGGTGGAGGGGTAGGTGGGGTGGGGCGCAGCTTCAAGCAGGCAAAGCCGGGGTCGGGGGCGCGCCCGCACCCCCCTGACGCTTCGCCCCGCCCCGCCGCGCAGGCCGTTCTTCACCTACTGGCTCACCTTCGTGCATTCGCTCGTCACCATCCTGGCCGTGTGCATCTACGGCATCGCGCCCGTGGGCTTCTCGCAGCACGAGACCGTGGACTCGGTGAGCGCGGCGCCCTTCCCAGCCGGGCCCGGGCGTCTGCAGTCTGGGCCCGCACTCCCTCTGCCGCAGTCGGGGAGGAGAGTGCCCGGGCGGCCTCTGTGAGCTCTCCCCCTTCCAGGTGCTGCGGAACCGCGGGGTCTATGAGAACGTCAAGTACGTGCAGCAGGAGAACTTCTGGATCGGGCCCAGCTCGGTGAGGGCAGGGCCTCGTGGGCGTCAGAGGGTGGGAACCCTGGGCCGGCGGGGGCCAGGTCCACCACTGCCCACGTCGCTCGCCCGCAGGAGGCGCTCATTCACCTGGGCGCCAAGTTCTCGCCCTGCATGCGCCAGGACCCGCAGGTGCACAGTTTCATCCGCGCCGCGCGGGAGCGGGAGAAGCACTCGGCCTGCTGCGTGCGCAACGACCGGTCGGGCTGCGTGCAGACGTCGGAGGAGGAGTGCTCGGTGGGTGCGCCCGCCTGGGTTTGTGGTTGCTCTGGGGCTTCCCAGCGAGGGCGCTTCGCTCCCTTCGAGCCCTGCCTCCTGCTTGCGCATCGCAGACAGCAGCTGCTGTGTCGGTGACTGGGGCGCGCTCTCTGTGCGCGTGCGGGTCCTGTTCTTGTGTACGCGTTTTATGCCGACACGAGCGGCGCTGCCTTACTCTTTCCGCTAAGCAATTAAAAGAGACCCCCCCAAAAGATTCAAGTTAAAAAATATTATTTAAGAAAAGATTTATTTAAAGAGAGCACAAGCTGGTGAGGGCAACACAGGGGTGGGGAGAGCATACTCCCTGCTGAGCGCAGACCTGGCCACAGGCTCGAGCTCACCACCCAGAGCTGAATGAAGGGTCGGAGGGGTGCCACGGAGCGCCCCATCCGGGCTTTTATCACCTCGTATGTGGAGGTGCTACAGCTTGTACCAGTTCCTCACTTGGGTTGTTTCAGTTTTGAAGCGGTTAGGAATTCTGTTGAGCTCCTTTCAACAGTGCCCCCACATGTGTGCACGTTTCTGGAGCATAATTTCAGTAACATGGGCTGTGGGCTAACGTGAGAGTCTCCGTGGCTTTGGTTTTCATTCCTGTCTCCTGTTGGCCGCACTGGTCGAGGGGTGGGCTCTGACCAGGGGTTGACCGTGTCCTCCCACAGTCCACGCTGGCAGTGTGGGTGAAGTGGCCCCTCCACCCCAGTGCCCCAGACCTTGCCGGCCACAAGAGGCAGTTTGGCTCTGTCTGCCACCAGGACCCCAGGTCAGTCTTGTTGCCTCTTCATCCAAGCTCTGTGGGGTGTGGGGGGAGAGGGCATAGCCCCCCTCATTGTGAAGCTGGACAGGTGTGGGTACCAAGGAGATAAAGGGTCTGACCACATACTGGTTCATGCAGGGTGTGTGATGAGCCTTCCTCGGAGGACCCCCACGAGTGGCCGGATGACATCACCAAGTGGCCGGTGAGCTGGAGTGAAGGACTGTTTGGGAGTCACCCCCATCAGGTGGGAGAGGAGTCCACACCTCATCCCTCAGCGAGACCAGAGAGACCCCGTCCAGGGACCACCCTGTATGTTCAGATCCTGTGCCCCTGGCCTTTGCCCAGCCTGTCTGCCTACCAGCACCTGCTCCTCCGAGCAGGTAGCCAGAACAAGAGGACCAGGGGGACACTTGGGAGGCAGGTGACCTTGTTCCGACCTGACAGATGGCTTGTATGCGTCTCAGGGTGTGGTGGGAGGCCAGTTTCCTACCCTAGGACCTATGCATCCTTGCCCCAGTCCCCAAGCACAGTGTGGGGCCCAGGGTTGGGGGAGGCCCTAACCCAGCTCACCTGCATTTGTGACCCAGATCTGCACCAAAAACAGTGCCGGGAACCACACCAACCACCCGCACATGGACTGTGTCCTCACGGGCCGGCCGTGCTGCATCGGAACCAAGGGCAGGTAGGTGCGCTCCTGTGTGTGGCCAATCAGGGTGGGGGGGTGGGAGGTTGCCCTGGGGCCCCTCCCCCTCCCCAGGTTCTGAAACGGCCCCAGCTGCCCCCCTCCAAGTCTTCTCAGCCCCGGCCTGACCTCGCAGGTGTGAGATCACCTCCCGGGAGTACTGTGACTTCATGAGGGGCTACTTCCACGAGGAGGCTACCCTGTGCTCGCAGGTAGGCCTCTAGGGCGAGTGTCCCTCCCCTGTCGCCCCGGCCACAGTGGGTGCTGACAGGCCACTCTGCACAGGTGCACTGCATGGATGACGTGTGTGGGCTCCTGCCCTTCCTCAACCCCGAGGTGCCTGACCAGTTCTACCGCCTGTGGCTCTCCCTCTTCTTGCACGCTGGGCAAGTGATACCATGTGGGCTGAGCTGTGCCAGGTGGGGTGGGTGCCCCCAGGGACCCTAGGCGTGGCTGGCCAGACGATGGAGGGGTGGCCTCCCTGCTGAGACCCTGCCACACCCCGCCCTCCCTGCAGGATCCTGCACTGCCTGGTGTCCGTCTGCTTCCAGATGACCGTCCTGCGGGACCTGGAGAAGCTGGCCGGCTGGCACCGCATTGCCATCATCTACCTGCTGAGTGGGGTCACCGGTAACCTGGCCAGCGCCATCTTCCTGCCATACCGGGCAGAGGTAAGGCTGCCCCCAGAGTGGGGACCCATCCCAGACTGGCTCCATGTCCAGCATGGAGCGTGGGTCCCCGGACAGTCCAGCCTGGGGGCATCTCCTTTTGGCTCCTCAGTTTTGACATGGGCCGTGGGAGGCAGGACAGGGAGACGGGGCTCTGGGTCCAGAGCGGGTCTGCTGGGCCTCACCAGCTCACGGACACCCACACTGTCGCCAGGTGGGCCCAGCCGGCTCCCAGTTTGGCATCCTGGCCTGCCTGTTCGTGGAGCTCTTCCAGAGCTGGCAGGTCCTGGCGCGGCCCTGGCGAGCCTTCTTCAAGCTGTTGGCGGTGGTCCTCTTCCTGTTTACCTTCGGGCTGCTGCCCTGGATCGACAACTTCGCGCACATCTCAGGCTTCATCAGCGGCCTCTTCCTGTCCTTCGCCTTCCTGCCCTACATCAGCTTTGGCAAGTTCGACCTGTACCGTAAGCGCTGTCAGATCGTCGTCTTCCAGGCGGTCTTCCTGGGCCTCCTGGCCGGCCTGGTGGTGCTCTTCTACTTCTACCCCGTGCGCTGCGAGTGGTGCGAGTTCCTCACCTGCATCCCCTTCACCGACAAGTTCTGCGAGAAGTATGAGCTGGACGCGCAGCTCCACTGAGGGGCCGCCCCGGGCCTCCCGGGCCCCCCGGGCCCGACCTTGGCCTGCGCGCCCCGCGTGCGGCCGGCTGGTGCCCTGCACTGACCTCTTGTGCCTTGCTCACCGCGGTGGACTTCTCGTCCTCCAGGGCGTTTACTACACTAGTTCCCACGATTACCTTCTAACGAGTTTTTTGACGACCACCTCGTGTGGCCAATAAATGCACCGGGAGCGTTTTAGCTGCCACTAACTTACCAGCGCTGCCTCCTCTTTGTGGTCTCTGGCTAGGGCTGTGGAGGGGGGTCCTTTAGGCCTCTTCCCCACCCTCCCCTCCCGCTTATGGCTCTGCAGAGTGGGGAACAAAGTGTCAGACACACCTCCCAGTGAAGTTTCTCCGCCAGGTGGCTGGCTGGACCTTGTCCCCACCTTTAGGGTGACTGGCGGCTGACAATGAGAGAAGAACCCATGGTTGTGCTATCGTACCCTCCCCCACCCCGAGAAGTACCTGACCCCAGCCCTCCCTCTGCAGCCAGAGGCTGCCTCCCTTTCTAGGAGCCACAGGGTGAAGGGTGCTGCTCCAGGCGAACCCTGGGAGCTGAGGCCGGAGACCTCACCCACATACTGTTGGCAGCAAGGCCTCTGTTGCCCCGTAAGCGCACAAAGCCAGCCATCGACTTCATGTCGCCTTGCCGTAGAAATCACGGTAGAATCACTGGTCTTGTGGCCGGGGGATGGTGTGGCCGCAGGGCTCAGAGCAAGCGACGGAGACCTCAGGGCTCCCCTGCACCGTTTTCTGCCCTTGCCTCCCCTCTGTGAATGGGCAGCAGCACGGCCTCCTGCTCCCAGACTGTGGCTTTCTTACTTTTCAAACTGAGGAGCAAGTAGATTTATTTTGTACGCAGGGCCAGGCCCACGTGCCGCGTGACTCGGCTGTTTGGGCCCAGGGCTTGGCTGCGTTCCAGCCGGTACCAGCCACCGGCACAGAGCTGTCCGCGTCCGGACGTTCATTTTTGCCTCAGCTTTTTGATGAAGGACACCTCATCTCGATTCCGGATACCGTAACTGGAAAAGAAAGAGGACTACAGTGTGTGATCGGCTGAAGCTGTGTCTGAGTCCTCACCTGAGATCTGTGAGGGACCAAGAAGGAAGCGGTAGGAAGAGCTGGGTCCAGGGAGGTGAGGAAGTGGCAGTGACCATCCTCTCGCCTGCACACACACTGCCTCCCCCTGGCTCTGGGAGGCCCTTCACTGCCTCTGGTGAGTGCTGGTCCCACTGCCCCTATGCCTCCCATTCCAGGGGGGAGGGCCCCCAGGAACCCCCTTGCAGGAGGCTCTCAGTCCAGCCAGGCACTCTCCGGGTCTCGCGAGTTCCCCAGGAACTGATTTAATCATGAATCCTCGTTCCTGGGAAGAGGCCCCAGCCCTCTGGTGGGGCTGGGGGAGCTGGCGGGCGAGAGACCAGATGCCTCCCTGCAGCTCAGAGCGTGGCCCACACTTACTCTCGGAGCTTCCTCCTGTCGTCTGTGAGCTTCTCTCCTGCAGAGATCAGGTAGTAGGTCCTCCACACGTAGGACCTGCAAGGTTCAGGGGTTCAGGCACACCGCGGGCAGGGTGACGGGGCAGCTGGGACACGGGGGCTGCGAGATGGGCTCAAGACGCTCAGCTCGGGGGAACCCAGGGCAGGCGGCCTCGTCTTGGCTCTTCCTGTACCACGCACGCGCCAGGCCTGAGGGAACTCTCAGGAGGCACTGCTCCAGGGGCTGTGGTGGGCCTGACCTTACTCACGAAACAGGCTGCAGTACCGAGACCCAGACCGCACGCAACCTCTGGCCCAGCAGGCCTGGGAGAGCACCCAAGGGACGATAGGCAGGACCGCTGACAGCTGCCCCACCTCCAACCCGGGAGACCGCTTACACTGGAAATGCCCCGAGGTGCTCCTGTCTAGGAATCCCAGCGGCTGCCCAGGTGTCATGCTATAGATGCCAGAGCAGCTGAGGCAGGAGTCCCAGGCACCGGCCACGCCCAAAGGCTCACCAAGACCTCACGGCACCAGCGCTTCCCACAGCCCCACTTACCAGCTGATGTGCTGGATGCCGCCCTCACGCTCTTGCCTGAGCTGCACGTATCTCTGAATGGCCTTCTTCAGGTCCAGGACGGTAGCGTTCTGGACCACAACCACAGCTGCAACACAGGTGGGAGAACAGGCACGGTGGGAATCCTCGGACGGCAGGAAAGGAACCCAGCAGCTCTGTTCAGACTGTTCTGGACGGAGACTCAAGTCCAGGTGGAGTGGGCTTGTGCCTGGCCCAATACCCCTGCACATGCCCCTGAGTTTCCCCCTGAGCAGTGTCAGCCATGTGAGCACCCCGCCTGTGGGAAAGCTGGGGCTGCAAGGTCCCAAGGGAGAGGGTGAGCACTTACGCATGATTTCTCCGTCCATCTTGCACACTCGGACTGTCATTGCTTGGCCGTATTCTAGTGCTATTTGGGAATTGACTTCTTCCAAAGTAACCTACAGAAAGACCAAGGGAGGGAGCCCGGCTTGTTGAACAACAAGGGAAAACAAGTTGAGAGTGTCCAAAAAGGACAAGAAACAGATTTCTTGCGTCTGTGTCTCACGGCTCCACCCACATTTTGTATTTAATGTCCAAAGCGCATGACAGCTCAGGAAGAGTACAGAGAACAGGGAGGACCAGGGTCAGATCTGGGTTCTGGGCTGGGTGGAAGTATGGACACTGTGAGTCCAGGGAGTTGAGGCAAGTGTGCAAAATTCACCAGCCCCCCATCCCCGCCAAAAGCAGTCACAATAAATATGCCAATACAACCTTAAAAAACCAACAAGTTGGGCGCCTGGGTGGCTCAGTCGGTTAAGCGGCTGCCTTGGGCTCCTCAGGTCATGATCCCGGAGTACCAGGATCGAGTCCCGTGTCCGACTCCCAGCTCCAGGGGGAGTCTGCTTCTCCCTCTGACCTCCTCCCCTCTCAAGCTCTCTCTCTCAAATAAACAAGTAAAATCTTTAAAAAGAAAAATAAAACCCGACAAGTTCAGTCTACGACTCCAGGAGAGGCCGAGAGCCAAGACGGAAAGGCGGGACCGTGCGGAACCAAACTGAAGGCGGATAAACAAACACCGGTTCCGGTCCTGTCTCCCCATCAAGGGTGCGTCCCGTTGGCCACAGACGACCGCTACGTTCCGACCCCGCGTGTTAGAGGGTCCCGCGCGGACGCGCGTTTCCGTGCGCCTCTCTTCATGCCGCGCGCCCCCGCCGCCCAGGCCCGGCTCCCGCGAAGGCCCCCGCTTAGGCCCAGAGGCGCCTCCTCCAGGGCTGCGGGCCGCGGTCCGCCGTTCGGGCCGCCCCAGGGCCGTGCGCGGCCGGCGGGGAGAGGGCCCGACCCCGGCCGCCGGCGCCCGCGCGCACCTGGATCGGCAGGTCGCAGAGCAGCGGGTCCTGCACGACCATGGCGAGACCCTCCTGGAACACGTCCACCGCCTCGGAGTGCGGCAGCGCCTCCTCCTCGTCCTCCTCGTCCTCCGGCGCCTCGGGCCGCGCGGCCACCTCCGCCTCCGCCCCGGCCGGCTCCAGGGTGCCTCTCCGCGCGCGCGACCCACCCGCACCGCCGCGGCGCGCCCGGGTTCCGGCCCGGGCGACCGCGAGGGGGCGGGGCTGCCGCGGGGACCAATGGGGAGCTCGAGGGGGCCAGCCGCTGGGCGTGCCGGGGCCCGAGTCGGCCCGGCCATTGGCCGGCCGCGGTGGGGAGGCGGGGCGGATGTCCAGACCAATGGGTGCTCGAGACGGGCCCGGCGGCGGCGGCGGGCGCGGGGTCTGCCGGGAGCCTGCGGGGCGTCGGGGGCCGCCATGCTGCTCTTCTGCCCCGGCTGCGGGAACGGGCTGATCGTGGAGGAGGGGCAGCGCTGCCACCGTTTCGCCTGCAACACCTGCCCCTACGTGCACAACATCACCCGCAAGGTGCGGCCCGGCGTCCGCCTTCGCCCGTCCTCGCGCTCGCGGCCGCCTCCAGCCGGCTGCGGGTCCTGCCGCGCGTCCCATCGCGTGCGCCCGCGATCCGGCCGCCAAGCCTCAGTGCCGCCCCCCGGGTCCCCGGCCGTCTCTCCCGCGCTGCGCTCCTGACCGCGCCCCGGGGCTCCCCCTCGATCTCGCGGCCCGTGCCTCCCCCTCCCCCTCTCCCCGAGCTCGCGGCCCCCACGCGCGCTCCCGGCCCGTGCCTCCCCCTCTCCCCGAGCTCGCGGCCCCCACGCGCGCTCCCGGCCC